AAAGTTGTGCTCCTTGGTGAGGGAGCAGTAGGCAAGACATCAGTGGTTCTCTCTTATGTGGAGGGAAAGTTCAATGAAAAGCACACTACCACTCTGCAGGTATGGTGCTCTGCTGGTATTCATTTATGCTGAAGTGCCTGTAATTTCTATGCACTTCACCTCATTCAGATCTCTAATGCACTTTTACTATTATCATTTTTTAAAGGGTTTTCCTCATTTGTGTCGTTGACCAGATTTGAGATTTCAGCATTGGTTCAAGTGTGTCATTTCATGACCAGAGTTGTGAGGCACCAGTCTTGCAACTGTTGCGACTTTCTGCTCCCTCCCAGGCGTCATTTCTCACCAAGAAGCTGTCGCTGGGAGGACGGCGTGTCACACTGGCCATCTGGGACACGGCCGGCCAGGAGCGGTTTCACGCGCTCGGCCCCATCTACTACCGCGAGTCGCACGGCGCCTGTCTCATCTACGACGTCACTGATGAGGACTCGTTCCAGAAGGTGGGTCAATAGGCACTCCTCCCCAGGCAGGCTCTGTGATACTCTTTCTCTTGTGCCGGCTCGATGGCACCCCTCCTCTTGGGCAGGGTCCGGTGTTAGCCGGTACGGGTACGGACAGTGGATGGGTTGGCTCCCGAGCGTAGAAGTTCCTCGGACGGTCGATTTCTGTCGCTGCCGCACCAGCTAGATGGGCGGTCAGTAGTGTGTTGTTTTGGCACTGTTTGTGACCAGCTGCTGTGAAAGTAGTATTTAGTTTGGTACACGCGAAGGGGGATATCTTGCAGCTGTGTCGATGGACGTTAAAATACCGACACGGAAAATGAAGAATGACGCATAGACAACGGCTAAACGTGCGAATAATTCTATTGTCACCAGCCTGAGTAAGTTCCCTGGCCGGATGTTGACAACTCCTACAAATTGACGATGCAAAGTGCAGCATTTGATCAGTTATTTCTTTTGATGGATTCTTTTCTTATATCTTATCTCTTCTTATAATGAATAGCTACAGTAAGTGAAGTGCATAGTTTGTGTCCTCTGAGACAATTTCATCAGGAATCGGAAGAGCATAATCAATTTTCAGTCGGCTGGATGTTTTGCTGCTATTCATTCTCCGGTCTTACATTCCGTAACGGCTATCAAAACCACGGTGTTCTGTTTCTCGTCTCCGAACATTCAGGAAGCCATGGGGCCGGTGTCTATCTACCATTCATATTTCATTCTGGAATCTGGATGTAATCGGATACACGACATGATGGCATGTGGCCGAAACTCGATCGTATTTATAGCTGCACTACCGCTCGTATTTCGGCGCGTTTTCCAGTGCTGGGTCCTGGTCGGCTAGGGGTGCGTTCCGTCACGGAATTTACATAAGCGGGTGTAGTAGTCTTTGGACAGATCTGTTGCGGCGGAAAGTGGGCTTAGGAGGTACCGATTGCGGGTTTTACGGAGGCAGGGGGTTTGGGCGGATCTGGAGCGGCGGAGCTGTATTTTTTTTTTTTTGCGGCTGGTTGTGGGCCTGGTTCAGGATGCAGGTTTTGTGGGTGGGGTCTGTTGGGGCGGGGTCTGTGGTGGTAGGAACAGGGTCTGGGACGGTGGAAGGTGGGTCTAGGACCGCGGATTCGCATGGTCCGGCATTGGGTCTGTGATGGATTATGAGTCCGGGACGAATCTGCGTTTGTTGGAGTGTGACACGGGGTCTGAGACCTGTGTGGCCCGTATATGTGTTTGGGGCTGCGCCTGCGATCTGTAGCGGCGGCGTGCGTCCCGATCCCCGGCGGTGGCCCTTTGATGTCGGACCGCTGACATCGGAGCCGCCGCGGATTAGCGGCGATCATCTGACTTGTGAGGTCAGCGTGTGGAGGGTGTGGGCAATGGATGCCAGACGTGTGTGGACACTGGACACCCAGCTGTATGTGGAAGGTGTGCACGGTCAGCTGTGTGGAATGTAGATACTGGACGGTCATCCGTACGGCTTGTGTGCCTGCCTGTCGATCGTTGTGTATTCGTTGCTCTAGTTTACTGAGCCCTCGGCTGCATGGGAGGTCTTCGGCACTGACAGAGTGCAGGCGTATATAGGACGAGACCGTCCCCGCTGTATGAAAACAGCCGTCAGAATCACCGAATAGGAACAACCCAGCCAGGGGATACGGTGTGTTTGTTGTGTCCGAACTATAAGTTCATGCTATTCGGGGGGGGGGGGAGGGACGCCGGAAGCTGGTATTGTCAAACCTTCTTCCTCAGACTCGCCCTGGGTTGTTTTCGTTTCTTTTTTTTTTGTCGTTAGTCGTTTGCGTCAGAATCATGAACGTAACTATTCATAGAATTAATGGTGGATGGTGACTGGTGTACCCAGATTCAAGCAAAATCTGTCTGATCAGAGTAGTTCACTTTTCACGTGCTTCCTTTTGAGTAATTTTGATAACATGTTTTTCTCGACGTGACTGTTTAGTGTTTGATCTGTTTTATCTCCTTTTTTTTCACCACGGTTTCGACGCATCTTATCGATGAAGTTTTTGCATCAGAGCCATCCCAGCTACCGAGCCGGGAAAGCAGTTTGTATGTTTCTTGCCTTCGATCGTGCCTGCTGTCCAAGTCTGGTGGCGCCGTGTTAATGACCTCTGTGGAATGGTTGCATTGAATAATCCTCCGAGCCATGTTTCTGGCCTGTTCGGGTGTATTGGTGGGTGGATACAACCGCTGACCACTGCCGACCGGCCGGCTTGCATAACCCGCCGACCTTGAGTTCACGGCAGTCCCGCATAGCGGGTGCAGCACTGAATGTCAACGATGGCTGGTCGGCGCTTCCTCGGTCACGTGCAGTCACTATACCTGCGGATCGAGACGCTGTCTCGGTCGCGTGGAATACGAGCTGCTGACCGGTCCGGCTTCCTTGGTTCCGTATAACGCTACTTGCAGACCGACCAGTGCTACCTTGTTGCCATGATGTATCACTCACCACTTGCTGCTCGCCCGGTGATAGCATGTGCTGATCGTCCGGCTTTTTCGGTTCAATGGTTATGGCATGATTTGACCCGCTGTTCAGCTGGCGAATCGTGAAATCTGCCGATTTATTTTAATTTCCTAACAACACACAGTTCACCCATGGGCCGCTGCGATGTTTATATGTCTATTTCGGTACTTACCGATCTATGTAATTTGTTATCTGAAGTGTCATCTTTTAACGTGATCAAAGCGCTTGTGTTTACTTTGTCACTGATAACCTGACCAGAGTCCTATTCGGGGCGGCATCTGCCGGGCCGTGTGTGGTCGTCGATGGGGCATTTTGGGCTTTTAGGCTTGTTGATCCGGATTTGTGGCGCTGGGCGGGGTGCGCTCAGGTCCGGTCATGGGTGCGTTAGGAGCTCTTCTTTGCTGACTGTGGTCAGTGTTGGTTGAAATTTATGATCAAGGCTATTCGGGACGGCCATTTCACTTCTATCCAGTATGCTCAGTATGTTCTCTTAGTCTAATACTGCGTGCATTTTTGTATTTCCGTCTCCATGCATGTCATCCGCCCTTTGCCCATCCTAAGGTCAAGTTCTATCTCCTCTGTCCTTGTCCCCATCCGTACTTCCTTCTCATCGTGTGAGGTCAACTTACGCTGAGCTACGTCCCAAACTACGTTCTGCGACGTGTCGCTGACGTACCGTTGTGTCTGTGTGCCGCCAGGTGAAGAACTGGGTGCGGGAGCTGCGGAAGATGCTCGGCTCCGAGATCTGCCTGGTCATCTGCGGCAACAAGATCGACCTGGCCAAAGACCGGGTGGTCGAACTCAGCACGGCGCTGGCGTGAGTGACGGGACAGCACGGCCCCGGGGGCCGCGCGCGCCCGGGAGCAGTGGTGGGAGTATGATGGGGGTTTTGTTCACTGTTCACTGTTCAGCGTCAGATAAATGGAATATTATTGCGAATCGTTCTCTACTGAGGTGCTTTCAAAATATGTTTCTGCGTTAGGTTTCGTGCAAACAGTCCGTCGCCCACGAACAGACGACCGGCTTATGTGTGTAGATCTGCAGAGTAATAATTTTCGTAATTTCGTAGTAAGCAGGGTCCACGGGTGCTTATTTCTACGAGTTTGTTGACTTTGATGATTGCTTCAATCATCATAGCTGAATTGACAACAGTTCTCAGTTATCTCAACAGTCAACAGCATGTTTTCTCGCACCCGAATGCTACCGCTCGGCGCTCGGTGTGCTGGCGGGCTGCTATCACCGGTCTTTGTACCTTGACGATGAGAGGCGTGGCGTCACTTTGCTCAGCTGCTGCTCGGGTCTGACTGATAACTTAGGGGGTACCTACATGCTTCCGCTCTATTGTTCTGTCTCTCAACTGATAAACCCTTCAATGTCACGCTCCCAGCTGGGTTAGTCGTTGCCGTGTGGTTCAGCGCCTGGCGGTATGTGCCTTGATGGGTCGCTGGAAGCCCCTTTCGTTCACCGCAAACTACAATCAATCCCCCACTATCAACCACTGAGTGGCTGCCCAAAGTCCTTCCAAGCTCAGCTAACAGCCCTCTCCTCTGCCGCCAGGTACGCCGATTCAGTAGGCGCCAGGCACTTCGAGACCTCAGCCAAGACTGGTGAGGGTATCGAGGAAGTGTTCCTGTTCCTCAGCCAGCAGATGCTGCGCGTGCGGGACTCGCGGGACGCGCCACCCACCGGCTCGCTGCGGCGCAGACAGAACGTCGTCGTTGTCGAGGAGCCGGAGCCAGAGCCGGCCAAGCGCTCCTGCTGCGGCTAGGTGGCGCCGGCGGCAGCGGCCGGCCCGTCTCGGGCAGCGCCGCCGACGCAGCGTCCGTTCGTGTATGTATTTAAGCCCAGAAGTATTTTGTAATCGTGTTTATTGGCGAGCCATTCCGGTGAGTTGTTTCAGCGGTGTCGGGGGGTGCGGGACCGGCCGGCCCGCTGTGGGTAGGGGAGGGGGCGGGTCCGTGTTTTACTGAGCGCCCCTCCGCCGACGCCATGGTGTCACACCTCTCTCCGTGCCACACTAGTCAGAGGCCACCGTGTGTTCTGTGCTTTATTCAGATCGCATCATTCATTTCAATATTAATATTTTAATAACTAAATAAAAGGCGAGCAGCAGTTGCCGAGACTCTGTGTTATCCGGCGACAGGCGGGCAGACAGGCGGACACGCGTGTGACCTGGCGCGGGCGGGCGTGTGACACTCGGCGCGCCCACGCGCATTGCACGGGCCGGGCACCCACCAGACACGAAGGTAGCCTACATACGGAAAAACAGCCACTCGCTCGCTTCACGCGCATTGTACAAGGTATAAATAACTTTACAGAGGCACATTATATCGGCGCCGCCGGCGGCCGCACGCACGCGCGCGCGCACGGCAGGGCTAGCGGACGGGACGGGCGGGGAGCGGGGGACGGGGGCGGGGGGCGACTGTCTGCAGCGGGTTACGGCCGGGCGGCGCGCTCCGCGGGCGCGTGCGGCGGCGCGCCGGCGCGCAAGGCACTGACGGCGGCGGCGATGACTAGACGAGGCGGCGGCCGGCGGCCGGGCGGGTCACTTGGACAGCTTGGATATCACCCGTATGAGCGCGCCGTTCTCGTCCCGCAGCTTCTTGTTTTGCGCCTTCAGCTCCTCCATTTCCTGCGGCGGCGGGGGGGGGGAGGGCGTCAGCCTGTGGCGCACACAGGAGGCCCACACACTCACACACAGGCGAGCTATCCCGCCGGCCGGCACCTGCCAGCTCTGTTTATCCCTGTTGACCGCTCTGCCGATTGATGACACAGAAATACCCGACCCGAGCTGGCACCCAGAGAACGGGCAGAGCCGATGAATGGTCCGCGTGCCAGCAGCTGCGAGTGTCGAGACAGGACGGGACGTGTGATTGTGTTTATGATTGTGATTGTGTGATTGTGTTCTGGCATACACTCTCAGGACAGTGAGCGCGAGAGTGTATGTCAGGGCAGAAGGGGTGCGAAAAAGATGGCACTCGGCATTACTCGGGCATGGATCCTGCCCCGCACATGTATCATGTGGTGTAACTAGGTCGTGAAGAAGGTCGATTGTTTTGATTTGTTCTGACAATCTGTGTTTATGGTGTTCATGGTGGTACTGTAATTATATTGTAATGAGTAATTGTGTCCAGTCGCTTTCACTGTTGTAAAATATAATCGTACGCAAATACACCACTATTTTGACTAATGCCGCTGGTCTACTGAGCTGGATGTTGTGATAGGATGATCGGATGTGGGAGAAGTGATGGCCCCATCCGGTGAACATTGTTGGCTCGGCCACGGTCAGCAGAAGTGGAATCTTGCTGTCGGCCCGGGTCAGGAAACAAGAGGGCAAATCAGGGAGAGGCTGGGTGCTGGACACAGGTCAGCGGCAGCCCTGGTTAGCCGGACACGGCTGTCTGCTTAGCCCGGCAGTTGGGGCTGACAGCTCGGCCCGGCTGGCCGGCAGTCCCGGCTGCCATCTCCGCTGGACAGACAGACATTCCGTACTGACAGTCGCTGTGGAGCCGGGTCGACCGTCCGGTGACGCACGGGGACCTTCACCCTGCGGCCGCCGGCGGGGCGCCGACAGGTGGCCTGGTCAGTGGAGCGGCCAGCTCACCGGCCGATGACGCCATCGGCGACCGGCAGCCGCCAACGACAACACAGCCGGGGAGGTGGGGAGGGGTGCAGGGTCACCACGGGGGCAGCGGGCGGCGGTTCACCGTGAGTGTTGGTGCGGCCAATCACACTGCTCACATCATCCCGTGCGTGACCCGACACCTCGTGGTGAACCAAATAGATCAACAACCCCACGCGAGACACCGAGACAACATCCTGCAAGCACAACTCTCCCTGCCATATCGCACCTAACTCCACGCCGGCACCACACAGGCAGCCATTCCAGGCGAAGTTTACGAGACACACTATTTATACACCAAAACTCCGGGCAGGTTGTTAAGGAGTGCGGGCCGTCAAAACTGGCGGCGCCGCTCGGGGGACTGACGGGGGCGGTCGTTTGACCTCCGGACGCCGTGCTGGAGCCGTGCTGACACTGTCCGTTGTGCCGCACATACACACGGGGACGGTGTTAGTACAAACACACGCACACACGCACGCAGGGACGGACGAGTTTAGACACAGTTGCGAGCTGCCAGAGCGGGGAGGGACGCATGAACCCGGACCGGACCGGCGGATGGCCAGCGAGCGTCTCACGGAGGTGCCGACAATCCTTCCTAGGACAGCGTAAATCATCAGGGCGAGACATATTCGCCAGGCAAACGCAGAGACACTTTCGACAGCCTAGTCTTCGGGCTGGAGCAGTGTCTCTACAGAGGACGGCGTTTGGCAGTTAGGCCACGCTGACCATTCGTCCTTTGTCGTTGTCACTTGTCCCCTAGCTCGGGGACCAGATGGGGCACCCAGGGGCGCAGGAAGGGCGTCCGGGTGCCCCCCGCGGTACCGTGACGGTTCGGCTGGCTGCCGCGCGGCCGTCCCTAGCGGAGGCGGTTGGTGTTGGCGCGGGGACGCTCTGCAAACGTCCCTCATCGCCGGCCGTCCCGCCAGCATATCGTCGCCGTGAGAAAACACTCATAAAACGGGGAGTGCGCCCCAGACTGACGCGTCAGGGTCAACCGGCCGTCAAGGCCAAGGGCTAGCGGCACTACCAAAGTGGCAATCAGCGGCCAAGAAAACATCGCTAAAACATCGGATGTTGATCATCAAAATGTTATTTTGACGTGCAGCGTCGATGGATCTCTTGGCGAGCCGTATCGCTCGCCGGTATCTTGGACTACATGATTGCCGTCAGTGTTGTCGATCACGTGAGTGGTAGACTGAAGACACCGGGCAATCGCACGGCTACAAACAATCGACGTGCCAGCCGTCATGTCCGCAGGCCTATAACCCCGAGCGGGCGGAGGTTTTGGCTCGGAGACTGGCCAATCAACGTGAGAACACCGGGTCAGGATAAAGGTGGGACTCAGAGGAGCGGGGTTAGGGACGGCCGCTAAAATGACTTCAGTGACAAGTCAGTGACTTCAGTCACCGCATCAGCCAGCGGGACAGACCAGAAATCAGTCCAATGATTGGACGTGAGCGTCACAATTCTTCGGCCATCAGCGGTTGTTGCGCCCGTCGCCCAGGCAGAGCAGACAGCCCACTGAAGTTGGCCCCACACTGACTTCAATGTCAGCCTGATCGGACGACGCGATCCCAGCCGCGCTCTACAAAAACTGATTTTCAAAACACCGCAGCTCTACCCTACTCTACCAGCTAAGGGACCGATCTACTATTTCAAAAACCGAGGGTAGGCAGTCTACTGGGCGAGGATCCGTCCCGAGGGCGGTTCGGACCGGCCGAACCCGGCCGCCCAAACAGCGTGCTATGCCGGCGGCGCGGCGGGCGGGCGGGCCTGGGTTAGGTGCAGGCGGCGGGCGGCCACACAGCACAGCATACGGCGCGGCCAGCGCGACCGCTCTCACCGGCGCTCGCCAGCGCTCTGGAGGCTACTTGCGCGGCGCACCGCCGCCGGCCGCCGCCGCGTTAGTGAGCTTCGAGACGACGCGGGTCAGCGCGCGATTCTCGGCCTTCAATTTCTCGTTCTCGGCTTTCAGTTTTTGCAATTGCTGAAACATGGAGACAGTGTTGGCAGAGCCGGCGCGCCGGGCGACGGTGGGAGCCGTTAGCACGCGCTCACTCCCCGGGCCCGCCCGGCGGCGGCGGCGTCCCCGCACACACGCACACACGCACGTGGACACACGGGCTGACAGCCGCGCTCGCTAGTTACCTTCAGCTCCTCCTCCATCTCGGAGAGTTTGCGCTCGAGGGCACGCTTCTCGCGCCGGTCCGACTCGGCGGCGGCGGCGCGGCCGCTACTCTGTGAGGCGGGCACGGCAGGCGGTCAGCGGTCAGGCGTTACGCGAGCTCCGTCAGCCGTACGGCGGTCCCAGCGGCCGACACGACACGACAATCAGAGAGCGGCAGTGAGAAACGACAGCGCAGCCGAGCAGCAAACGGTCAGACAGCGACAGCCCCGAGAGACAGTCAGCGGCCAAACAGCCGGCAACAGACAAAAAACGCTGCACTGACTGATAGCAGAGACAGTGGGCGCGGAGCCGAGGCGCGGGCAGGGCGGCAGGCAGCTCTACTCACCTGCCTCGAACGCCTTCTGAGCTCCCTCCTTCCCTCCCCTGACTAACCCGTGACACCACCAGCGTCCAGCGCATCTGTATAGGGACTGGTACAGACGCATCACTTACCACTTGTAGCGCCTTGTCGAGGTTGAGCTTGGCGTCCCGGCAGTCGGCCTGAGCCTCGGCCAACCGCTGCTGGAGCTTGTCGTTCTCGACCATCGCTGCCTCGTACAACTGCCGGGGAGATGACGGCGGCGTCAGTATAGCAACGACATAAACAGGGTCTGTGCAGGTCTGCTAACGGGACCGAGGTGGGCATCAGTGTAACTACAGAAAGGAGAAGGCGTCCGCACGGTGTTAAAATAGCTCATACAGCAGTGAGAAGATGACGGTGTTACTTCATCAAACAAAGTCGAAGCTTCAGATAACATTTTCAAAGTGCAGTACCATTACTCAACATCCAATAATCGCTCATCCGCGGCCAGGAACAGCGCGGTAACCGGACAAAAAGTCAAAAGGAATAAAGTCAAAAGACAAATAGTCAAAAGACAAAAAGTCAAATGCAAAAAGTCAAACGGGATAAAAGTCAAAGAGATAAAAGTCAAAACGGATAAAAGTCAAAAGACAAAAAGTCAAAAGCAAAAAGTCAAAATGTGCAAAAGTCAAAAACGCAAAAAGTCAAATGACAAAAAGTCAAAAATGCAAAAAGTCAAAAATGAAAAAGTCAAAAGAATAAAAGTCAAAACGGAAAAAAGTCAAAAGACAAAAAGTCAAAAGCAAAAAGTCAAAACGTGTAAAAGTCAAAAGACAAAAAGTCAAAACGGAAAAAAGTCAAAAGACAAAAAGTCAAAACGAGTAAAAGTCAAAAGACAAAAAAGTCAAAACGGAATAAAGTCAAAAGACAAAAAGTCAAAAGCAAAAAGTCAAAATGGGTAAAAGTCAAAAGACAAAAAGTCAAAAAAATGAAAAAGTATAAAATAGTATTTCGAAGTCAAAGTCTGAAATAAAAAGTCAAAAGTCGAAGCATCGATCTTTTCATCTTTTGAAAAATATTATACAGCGCAACGTACCCTACCCACTGAAGTTGTAAGGAACATGTGAGTATGCGAGGGATTCTGACAGGTACCGGGGTCCGCAGCAGCGGGGCAGGGACGCTGGCTGCGGTGGTGGGGCCCACGCTCACATAATACGCGTTGAGCGCTTCCGGCGTGCACGCTGGCGCAGCAGCAGTGGCACTCTTCCCCGCCCCGATCACCGGCCGCAGCACTGTCCACATCCTCGCCGGTCCTGCCTCATGCAGCTGGTCAGCATAGTATGCCGCGTGGTCACGTCTGATGGCCGCTCGACACTGCCGGTTCATGTAGCATGATGGACACAATAAGGAATGTGAGTAGCGTATGAGTCAGGCGCGCGGCGAGACTGAGCTGCGGGACGTGACCCGGTGACCCAGTGTGAGTCATCCGCCGCCGCCGCCGGACGTCGGGGCGGCCGGGTTACGCCCCCTGATCAGTTGCACTGGGGATGACGTATGACAATGTGATTGGCTAATGATGATGCGCGATGACGTGTGCGTGAGAGCTATGGTCTGGTTGGGAGTGTGATTGCTGGGCAGTTGGCTGAGAGGCTCGGAGGAGAGCGGAATATAGTTTTCTTGGTTACGTGGAAGCAGGAGTTCTAAATCGCTTCAAGCTATTTCGGCCATTCTCAGAACAATCAGTGCTTGTGACAATGTCTGACGTGGAAGAGGAGAGTGGTGCCGCGGTGGTCGATACCAATGCGGCGGAACCCGAACTTCCTGCACCTGCTTTCGATCTGCGGGCAATACCAGAGTTCGACGGTACCGGTGACGTCGTCAAATGGCTGGAGCAGGCGAAACAGCTGTGCGCCCTGAGACGCGTTTCCCTGGCCGCTGTTTTGCCGACGCGCCTGCGGGACCAGGCGTACGAAGTTTGGGCCAGCCTCTCCGAGACCGAGCAACGAGACGCTGAGATCGTCCGTGACAAGCTGCACAGCGCCTTTGCCATGGGACCGGACGCCGCAATGTCAGAGCTATATCGTCGACGTCTGGAGCCGGGTGAGTCTGTTGATGCTTACCTGGGCTCCATCAAACGTCTGATGTCTCTAATCGGCTATGTGTCCAGCACGGTCATGACGGCTCATTTCCTACAAGGCCTGCCAGCGGAAGTGCGGCTGACGGTACGAAACAGCGTTGGAGATGGCACGCTCACCCTGGAGCGAGCGGTCGCCATCGCCCGGTCGACGTTGGCGATAACTGCCAGGGAGAGAGCGGCTGCACCGGTGGCTGCCGTCCAACTGCCGCCACCATCGGTACAGCAACAGCGGGCGACCAGAGGAACTGCTCGCCGGCCACCGTTGCGGTGCTGGACCTGTGGCCAGATGGGCCACATCGCCCGGCTCTGCCCAAACGGACGTGGCGACGGCGCTACATCAGCGCCACGGGCTCCGCCGTCGCCAGCCGCCGCAACAGCCCGGGAACGCCCATCATCGCCATCACCGTGAATGGGCACAGGTGCCGAGCACTGGTCGACACGGGATGTAGTGAGACAGTGGTGTGGAAGGGCGTGGTGTCCCAATGGGAGCAGAGTGACACCAGTTTGGTGGCTGTCAACGACAGCCCAGTTCGGTGTTGTGGGCAGGCTGCGGTGAGCCTGGGTGTGCGCGGAACGACAGTGAATGTGCGGGCGGTCGTCGTACCGGCCCGGTTGTTAGGCGTGGACGTGTTGCTAGGTATGACAGGCATCGACGCTCTGCGTGGCGTAAGTGTGAGTGGGGGGTCTGTTCGCTTCGGGAGCGAAGACCCGGCTGCTACGGAGCAGCGTGAGGCCCCGCCGGAGCGGGAGGTGTGCCGAGCGGTCGGCACGGCTGCAGGCGTGCAGCGTGAGGCCCCGCCGGAGCGGGAGGTGTGCCGAGCGGTCGGCACGGCTGTGGGCGTGCAGCGTGAGGCTCCGCCGGAGCGGGAGGTGTGCCGAGCGGTCGGCACGGCTGCGGGCGTGCAGCGTGAGGCCCCGCCGGAGCGGGAGGCGTGCCGAGCGGTCGGCACGGCTGCGGGCGTGCAGCGTGAGGCGCCACCGGAGCGGGAGGCGTGCCGAGCGGTCGACATGGGGCCAGAGTTGAGGATCAACGAGACCGACTTCACGGCAGTGTTCGATGCCGGGGTGTGGACGGTTCGCTGGAAGTGGGCGGGCGGTGTGGACCCGCCACCGCTTCGCAACTCCACGGCTCAGTACGGCATACCGAGGGGTGCGCGAGAGAAATTCGATGCCGAGCTGTCATTGTGGATAAGTGAGGGCTGGCTACGTGAATATGACGAGACGGTGTGCGGTCCGGCACAGGGACTGCTCCCGTTAATGGCGGTAACTCAGGCGGCAAAGAACAAGGTGCGGCCGGTGCTTGATTATCGAGAGCTTAATCAACACCTGACGCCTCACACGGCTGACGCGGACGTCTGCGTGGAGGAGCTTCGACGATGGCGACGCCACGGCCGCCGGGTCGCGGTCCTCGACCTGAAGAAAGCTTTTCTTCAGCTCCGTGTGGACCCGGCCCTGTGGCCGTACCAGACGGTCATCGTGCGGGGGCGACGATACTGCCTCACGAGGGTCGGCTTTGGGCTTTCCATAGCGCCTCTGATCATGAAGTCGGTGGTCAGGGAGGTGCTCGCGCAGAACCCGAGGCTGGCTGAGGCGGTGCGGCCCTACGCCGATGATCTGCTGGTCAACGAAGCAGCCGTTTCAGCTGACGAGGTGGCCCAGCATTTTGCCCGTTTCGGACTCGAGTGTAAGCCGCCGGAGCGAGTTGCGAGCGGCGCACGCATGCTGGGCCTCCGTGTCGCCGAAAGTGACGGGCCGGCGCTCCAGTGGACCAGGGACGGAGGGTCACCCACGCAGCCTCCACCTGTGCTGACGCGACGAACTGTCTTCGCGTGGGCCGGCCAACTGACATCTCACGTGCCGGTCGCGGGCTGGCTACGGCCGGCCGCTGCGTGGATGAAGCGGACAGCCAACCGTCTCAGCCCGGACTGGGACACTCCGATCGTCAATGAGGAACTGCAACGCCAAGTGGATGAAGTGTCGCGAAGGGTGATAGCCTGTGACCCGGCATGCGGCCAGTGGTGTGTGACAGGGTCAAATGTCACCGTGTGGACTGACGCCAGCTCCATCGCTCGCGGCGTCGTCCTAGCCGACCCTGTCACAGACGCCATCATCGAGGATGCGTCCTGGCTACGGGCCGAAGCTGAGCGGGACGTTCACATCAACATCTCGGAGTTGGACGCCGCTCTCAACGGCGTCAATATGGCCCTGGCATGGGGCTTCCGTCGCCTGACGCTCCGGACGGACTCGGTGACTGTGCACCGCTGGCTGAGCGATGCGCTGTCGGGCAAGGCAAGGCTGCGCACCAAGGGGCAGTCCGAAATGCTTATCCGACGGCGCGTGGCTGTTTTCCGTCAGCTGGTCGCCGAGTACGAACTTGAGGTCACCATCGAACTGGTCGGCTCAGCTGCCAACCGCGCCGATGAGATGACGCGGGTGCCCAACGCCTGGCTACAGGCCGCCGATCGGCCGGCCGCCGACTCGCCCGACAAGTCACCACCGGCTGCTGTCGCAGCCATCACATCGAGTGCCTCGCCGGGCGACATCCGCGCCATACACGAGAACATTGGCCACCAGGGCGTGAGGAGGACGTTGTGGTACGCCCGACGGGAGCTGGGGGTGAGGCGCGTCACGAAGACGGCCGTGCGGGACGTGGTCAGGCGGTGTCAGACGTGCGCGTCGATTGACCCGGCTCCGGAACGCTGGCTTGGTGGGTCACTTGAGACGGAACGTACGTGGGATCGCCTGGCCATGGACGTCACCCACCTGCACGGCCACCCGTACCTGACGTTGGTGGACTGCGGGCCGTCGCGATACGCCATCTGGCGCCGGCTGCGCCGGTCGGGGGCTCTGGAGATCGTCCAGCATCTCGAGGACGTGTTTCTAGAGCGTGGAGCCCCGGCCGAAATACTCACGGACAATGCGACGGAGTTCCGCGGCCGGGCTATGATGGCGCTCGCGGCCCGCTGGGACGTGGCGATGCGATTCCGCGCCGCCTATGAGCCCGGCGGTAACGGCGTTGTAGAACGCCATCACCGGACCATCAAAGTGATGGTGGCCCGGCAGGCCTGCTCCGTCGCTGAGGCAGTCCACCGCTACAACGTGACACCTAAAGATGGCAGCGACCCGGCAACAGCTCCGATCAACGAGGTGTTCCGACACCCTGGCCGCGACGTTGACGTGACGCCCCGCGGACGAACAAATGGACAACAGTGCGACGCCCTGCCGCTGAAAACACCAGGTGTGTACCAGGTGGGGGACAAAGTGTGGGTCCGGCGGCGGGGCGACCGATGTTTTGTGAAATCGGACGAGGGAACTGTGACAGGCGTCGTGTCGGCTCAAACAGTCGAAGTCGACAATGTGCCGCGTCATGTGCGCAATCTCCGCCACCGTTTGACCATGACTGATGCCCCGAGACCGGTGACTGTGCACGCCCCGACGGCGGAGCGGTGCGAGGACAGTGACAATGAATGTGATGGCATGTATATGGCAACACCTCCGACTGATGTAACGGAGACACACACGCGGCCGCCGACCGTCGATCAGACCGCGAGGGTCGATCCACCGACCCAGTCTGAGGTGTCTACGGAATGGAGCGAGCCAATAGACGGCGAATTGTCCGAGGGAGAATCACCCGCGACCGTTACATTGCGACGCAGCGTACGTGAGCGACGGGAACCAGACAGATATGGTATTGTTGTGACGGGGGATGTACTTGATGAGTTGAGTGAATGACATGATGTGTGATGTGGTTCTTTAGAACCAGGGGGTGATGTAGCATGATGGACACAATAAGGAATGTGAGTAGCGTATGAGTCAGGCGCGCGGCGAGACTGAGCTGCGGGACGTGACCCGGTGACCCAGTGTGAGTCATCCGCCGCCGCCGCCGGACGTCGGGGCGGCCGGGTTACGCCCCCTGATCAGTTGCACTGGGGATGACGTATGACAATGTGATTGGCTAATGATGATGCGCGATGACGTGTGCGTGAGAGCTATGGTCTGGTTGGGAGTGTGATTGCTGGGCAGTTGGCTGAGAGGCTCGGAGGAGAGCGGAATATAGTTTTCTTGGTTACGTGGAAGCAGGAGTTCTAAATCGCTTCAGTTCACCACCGTATACTCGGCGCGCGGGCCGAGCAGTGCGCGCCGCCGCGCCAGCAGCGCTCGCGTGGCGTCCGTGGTGCGCGGAGCACCGGGCGGCGGCAGCCCCTCCCCCATGGGAGAGGGTGAAAAGCAGTGCCTCCTCTAAGCAGTTTTGACTGGGGGGCCCGATCACGGGCAATGACTAAGGTAACCCCTACCAAAAACGTCTAAGACTAAAAAATGACTAAGGTACCCCTCAGTGACCAGTTTGGAGGATGACTGCGGGGGCTGCAGCTCCCGCAGTTAAAGGTAGTGTGCCACCTTTGAAAGATTTCCCATTTTATTTTTCCTAGGATAAGAAGCTTCTGTTTTTACCTAATATCGCAAAAAAAAATCAAAAATGGGCCTGGAATAGTGCCTTTTTCGCCTAAAAGTTTATCGGTTTTTCGATATGTATAACAACTGTAGTGGGTTCACCTGCAAACAGGCGTCGGCAACAATCGCGAATGCGGCGCACATGTGACAATAAGCAAAGGTCATTATAGAGTTACGACACGACGTACGGGAATGAGTTATCAGCTGTCTAATCGTAGACAGCACAATGTCGAGCCTTAAATTGTAAGCCTGTATTGGAATTGTTTCTTTTGTTTGGCTGTCGAACATTATTTATGGTTTGAAATATGATTTTATGTAAAATAATTGATATGAAAAAGCCGTCTCTTAAGTTATGACCCCATTTCACCACACGCAAGTGGCAGAAATGACAATGATCAGCTGACGCATTTTTCTTGGCCGAAGTCAGAGCGCGCGGCCCGACGCACCACCACCGCACCACAAAGTATGAGCAGAAGCCGCGCCCAAAGCCAGGGCCCCGGTAACGTGAGGTAGCCGAGTCGGGGCAGCGTACGCTGACCCAAGCCGGGGCCGCAGCTTTGGGCGCGGTCTACCGCATCCCCGCGGACAGCCCCGGGCTATCACATGACACCGGGAGGACGCGCGGCCCCGGCTTGGGTCAGCGCACGCTGCCCCAACTCGGCTACCTCACGTTACCGGGGCCCTGGCTTTGGGCGCGGTCTACCGCACCACCTAACAGGCGTGTTCGAAACCGCAGGAGATGATGATGAACGGGTTTATCGAAACTTGATTGGATGAGCATATCGGTAATAGCGATTTCAGTGTGTACGTTTATTGTTCATAGTGGTGTGAAATGTGGTTGGGGTACGACCGACAACCCGTCGGGGCGAATTTCGCACTGGGGTACTCAAAATTTGAAGAATTTAAGACGTTTCCATGAGTTTTGAAGGTATGGATAAGTTCTAAAAATCCGGTTCTCCTTATCTGGGCCATTAACTCCATACGGTCCAGGAAAGCTGGCACACTACCTTTAACATGTTAGAGGAGGCATGGGTGTCGTTTTGTATAGGCATGGTAGGGCCCGAGCCCTACCAATAATTTTGGAAATTTAACATTATGCCTATGGCGTTGCGTGGAAAGAATCGCTTTGAATTGGCAAAAATTTACATTAGAGCCCTACCAATAATTTTCGGAAAGTGTCGCCCCTGAGAGGAGGCCCTGGTGAAAAACCAAAACCTCAAAATAAAAAATACCATGTGATTAACGCTTAAATGACGTCAATGGACTTAAAGTAAAAAATACAAAAGACGAGATAATTTCAAAATTTTGAGTTGCAATTTTTGTCCCCTCAACTTTCAACCTACCCCATCAACTTTTCAAACGTTCCCGGGTCACCACTGCCCCATCGTGCAATTCCAGTGCTATGGCAAAGTTTTATCTGAAAGTTTAAACGTGCCCGATAGACTGGACGCGGTCCCCTCCGTCCACTCACGCTCTCTGGTGTCTGTACGGTCATCGCTGACTGGTCCAGCATACAACGAGCTGGGTTTATAGAAATTTGGTTAAAAGAAATGAACATATTTTAATGAACGAATCCATTAAGTAATAAAATGAAAATGATTCACAGGTTATTATTACATGTGGGAGCACTGACGCAGGAACTTTCTCAATGTTGGAAGGGCTCGAGGCAGTTTGAACTCATTTCTTTCCATGCAACGCCATAGGGTTAATTACGAGCGAGCGAGCGCAGCGAGCGAGCGAGTTCTTTCGTGTTTAAGGCAAAAATCTGAGTATGCGCGACCCGGCCCGACACGACCCGGCCCGACACGACCCGACCCGACACGACCCCATCACGCTCTTCAAACCCTTATAACTCAAGAACCGCATGCCGCATCGACAAGCGGTCTTCTTTGCTGAATACCACTTGGATGTAAAAGTTGTATGGCATGGACACCATGTTGTTTGAGTGTCGATCTTGGCACGTGGCACGTGCTAAACTTGGGGTACTTTGCACACACCCGAAAACTATTATCCTCAATAACCGCACAACGGCTGGACCGATTATTTGACTTTTTCCATTTGATTTTTATCATTTTGACTTTTTTGCCGTTTTTCACTTTTTGTCTTTTTGACTTTTTGCATTTTTGACTTTTGGACGCTTTGACTTTTTGCCATTTGACTTTTTGACTTTTCGCGTTTTTTTACTTTTTGCCATTTGACTTTTTGCTTTTGACTTTTCGCCATTTTGACTTTTTGCATTTGACTTTTTTGCTTGACTTTTTTCGTTTTTGACTTTTCGCCATTTTGACTTTTTGCCATTTGACTTTTTGCTTTTGACTTTTTGCGTTTTTGACTTTTTGCCATTTTGACTTTTCGCCATTTGACTTTTTGCTTTTGACTTTTTGCGTTTTTGACTTTTCGCCATTTTGACTTTTTGCCATTTGACTTTTTGCATTTTTGACTTTTAGACGTTTTGACTTTTTGCCATTTGACTTTTTGTCTTTTGACTTTTATCCGTTTTGACTTTTATCCATTTGACTTTTTTCCATTTGACTTTTATCCATTTTGACTTTTTGCATTTGACTTTTTGTCTTTTGACATTTTGTCTTTTGACTTTTTGTCCTGGAATCGAACAGCGCTGACCGGGCGTCTGCCAATATCTCATCACGGTGGCCGTCACAGCGGTTTGACTGATAGACGGCAATGTGACAGGGGCGCCGGCGGACGACCCCGCCCGTCACAGTCTGTATCTGTGAGGCGGCGAGCAGGGCGCGGCCGGCGCTCCGTCCGTCACCGGCGTCATCTCGCACGTCATCAGCCGCCGCCGCGCAGTGGCTATTAATACCCGGCCATCGGCATCATCCAGGGACTGCCAGCGGCCGGACGGCGACCCGGCGACCCGAAAAGGACAGGATAACGGACGCTGAGAGGACGGGGACGCAGGTGTGTCTTGAGCTGAGGGGCTGTTTGTGACGGTGGATTTGAGAAACACTGACTAGTGACTGATCATTGTGATGTAGGCTCGCGGCACATTCGGTTAGGCTGAGGGACATAACGAAAAGGTAATGATGAGCACGGTGACCTAAAGGACGCGGTGGAGACAGCAGAGTCGTGCTAGCCTGTGACGACGTTTGGCGAAAGGTGTGGGCAGTGGCAGCGACACGATGATCCACGGTTCAGCCGGCGGTTACTGACCTTTTTGTAGTCGACCTCTCCATTCTCAACGCTGTTGGCTCGGCTGGCGGTGCGGCTGCTGGCCTCACTGCTGGCGGCTGCGTTCGGCGGGTTGTTCAGCGTCTGAGGACACAGACAGCAGCGGTCAGAGGGGATGGTCGGCGTTTGAAGATACATACAGGCGGAGGTCGCATTGGACAGGTCTGGGGTCCACATTAATACAAAGATGGGAAAGGAAACTGGCCCAGCCTCCCCCCCCCCCCCCCCACATACTCTCATTACAGTTACGTAGTGCATACTCTGTTGAACAGTGCGGCTCGTTATAATCCCCGCCGAATCATAAGGACATCGGACATTAGTCAGTGGTACGACATCAGTATGAACTACGCCGGCACCCTGCTCTCGTCAATTGCTGTCATTGGACAGCGTCGGCGAAGACCGCGACAGCTCTGCGACCCAGCCAACACGCCGGGTCCGCTCGGTAGTACGGTGAACCAGTCCACCTCATGACAAATCCCCGTAGACCAGACGATAGACGTGACCCTGGGCGGTCCAACGACCACCCTGGGTCTCCTGTGTGCCAACAGCCGACAGCCAGACGAAGGGCCAGACCGCAGCTCCGCCCATCCCAGGCAGACGGCACAGACAGAGTGGCGCCAGGCCCGCGCCATAAAGACGATCGACAAACATACGGAAAAGCCCGGCTGCGACAGCTCGAGCACAGCCACGGCCCACGCCATAACGATTGGGCCGAATGGAGTCGAGGAGTAGTCCACGCTACAAATAATGATGGAAAATATACGAACATACGGATACCATTACCAAGGACGATCTACGTCTATACAATTGGCCACATCCGCACAAATAGGGACCGAGGGACCGAGCCGAGCTACATCGACTCATAAATATTAAATATGCATATCAACGGAACTCCATTTTCGGCACCCCGACGATGAAAAATACTACAACGAGTCAGTTGGATCCCGCCCTCTCCCTCGCATCGTCAGACGTCATTATTTCATAGACCCACACCGTCTCGCTGTGTCCGTCGGCTGCGTACGGCCGCCGTGCGCGGACGGTCGGCGGTGCCAGCACACAGCCGGCCAGCGACTGGGTCAAGGTGAGGTGAGTCCGACAGCCGACGGAGTGAGGGCCGCGGACCGCTGACAGGGCTCCATCCGACACAGTGAGGGCAGCCGACGGAGTGAGGGCCACGGACCGCTGACAGAGCTCCATCCGACACAGTGAGGGCAGCCGACGGAGTGAGGGCCGCGGACCGCTGACAGGGCTCCATCCCCGGGACGGAGACAGACGACCGCCATATCCCTTCACGTACCAGAGACAGGCACCACCGACCCGTCACGGAGAGTCAAACCACTTCCCAAATCGAGTCATTCGGACGGCGCCATTGCTGCCGCTCTGTGATTCAGTCCCCACTAGCCCAGCCTCCGTGCCGACAGAAGACGGAACCACGCTAGCTGACTGGGTCGGTCATTCTCGTTAGTAAACACATCAACCGGGGACGTCAAAATAGCCCACGGCTTACAATAATTATTAAAATAATGTAAGAGAATACAAAATTCAGTGCAGATTTAAGAAACAGCGAGGAGCTTACCAATTTTCAGCACAAAAGCCGGTTGAAAAATGTTGGCGCTGCCGGTCTCACGGCTCTCAAACACCACGCTACCACCCATCCATGCCCCCGTCCCTCGCAGTCATTAGTCCACTAGCCTCAACATACGACGGCAGCCCGACGACAGACAGTCCCTCCTCGCCAAAAGACCGTCTCCGCCGGCCGCTGAACCTGTCCCGGCCACCGGCCCCACCACAGCTCACCGGCCGTGACGGGAACTGGCAGAGACGTCCTCCGTCCCGTCAGCTGACTACCGGCGTCAACCGGCTCGAACGGGACAGGGTGCGTTCAACAGGGGGAGGGGCAGCCTACTGGTGACGCACAGGCCAACTTCCAGCTAGTGTCAAAAACATCACTATCAGCCCGGCAACTAACAGGAACCATGACTTCAATGAGCCATTTCATCTGCTGTGGCGTTCAGATCAGAGGCACGAGGCGCAGTGGTCGCTGCCAAAATTAGTATCAAAGCGGAGCCAGAGGAGGGGCACTTTCCGCGTGACCCGGTGAGTGTCACGCCCAAAATAGGTCCCAGCCCTCTCAGCGACTCGTGCTGGCGACGTTTCACCATCATTACGAGAATGTGCTGACTGGAGAAACGGTCAGCTAGACGTCCAATTTGGCGACCACGAGCACGGTCAGAGGGCTGAGAGCGACGCATCGACCTTGACATCAGCGAGTGGCGAGCGTTCCACGCATAGCGGGGAACGTGACAGGTCGAGCCGGGCCAGAGCGACGAGCCATCGCCGCTGATGAAGGACCGCGGCCGACTGACGGGAAACACTGACACGGGGGATACGGTTCGGCCCGGACACCGAACTCAGCATAATGGGCACACGCTGACACTAGCCTCACCATAAATGGAAGTGGTCAGTGACAAGGAAATCGGTCGGTGCTTATGCAAGAATCGCTCGTGGAAAGTGGTAACCGGATAGAAGCGCAGCTTACAGGTATGACGCGCGGGAACAACCCCGAAAGAAACGTGTGGTTGTGGCCGCCCCAAGGGAACAGTGTGACTGTGAGATGCGAGGTCCCAATAGAGACGGTCCGTGACGTTCCAATGATCACACAGACGACCTGTGACATTCTAGCTAATATTGAGTATCATGAGACATTGAGACACCACACAGACGATTCGTGTCGCCCCGTTGGACGACATGGAGACCGCCGTGAGACGAGCGTCCCACATGGAGACGAGCCTCCCCGTGATACCCCGGCAGACAGACGAACTGTGTCGTCAGCCGGCAGTGGTCGACCACGGGCCGTCGGCCAGCGCCGGGCCAGCTCGGACGCTCCCTGTCGACTATATAAGGCGGCGCGGCGGCGGAGGAGCGGCGGCCATCACCGGCCGGTGTAATGACGTCAGTATCCGGTCAGGCACCGGGCGCCCGACAGGGGACCATACCGGCAGAGCAGGTACCGGCCAGATCGCGGACGGGGGACCGTATCGATACAGCTGGGACCAGCTATCTTACCGGGAGGGGGTGCACCGACACAGCCCGTGCACTCTACAGTTTGGTCGGTATAATGGGAGCTCGCCAGATCGCAGCTGGAGTGACACGGAATTCCTGATGGATCCGAAGAGACATTGACACTTGCGCTTATCTACTTGACGACTCAGCGCGGCGCCTTGGGACCTCACCCTAGATAATTATAGGCGGAGCAGTGCGCACATCTACCTGTCGACTACCGCATTGTCACACGTCACCCACTGACACCCAGTTGTCCCAGCTGTACCCAGGGGCGCGTTGGTCCGCCAAACCAAACACCGTGCGGTTAATTAACGCTCCGGGCTCATTATTAGCCCAGCCGTCGGAAGGACGTGTCAGTTGCAAGTACCGGGCCCGGTCCGTCGGCGCCGGCGGCCGAGCCTGCTCCAGGGAGATGGTGTAACAATCAGCTGGTCGGGCCGCGCGGCTGCGGCGGTGCACCTGTCGGGTGCTGACGGGAGCACGTGCTAACTGCACGCCGTCGGTGCGGCTGCACACGGAACCCCTGCAGAAGTTCCGTGTGCAATGAGCGACCCACGGCGCACTACGAGTGGGCAGCGTCTCGAACAGTACCGATTGTGCAACACGGGGAGAGAGAACAACAAACAGCTGCCGGTAACGCAGGGCAAGACGGAGGGCCAGGCAACTTCTGGAATGATACTGGACTGCGGACCAGGAAACGTGACCCCTCCTACGACTTACACAGAAGAACTGACGCTGCCCCACACTCCCCTTCCCCTCCGGCGCTAAGACTCACGCTGGTACTGCCGTATCCGGAGCTGTAGGAGCGGCCCGACAGGCTGCTCTGGCTGCTGCTCAGGCTGGGCGAGCGGCCGGCCCGTACCGCCGTGGCCACCGCCGCTGCCGCCGCCGCCGCTGCCGAGGCCGCAGCCGCGGTACCCGGGGAGCGAGGCGGCAGCGCCGGGCTCAGGTTCAGACCGGCCGTCGTCGGGCTGCTGCTGTGGACGCTGCGGGACCGCGGCCGGGCCGTCGACCGGCCCAGGGAGCCCGAGTAGCTGAGTTTGGAGCGCGGCCGAGACAGGTGGCCCGATGACAGTGACGATGCCGCAGCGCTGCCACCCGATGAAGACGCAGAAGACGAGCCACTTGGTCGGCCGGTCGGCGGCGTGTAGCTTGTGCCCGCTGAGTAAGAGCCGCCCGACAGAGACAGACCGCCGTTGGAAGCAGAGTAGCTGCTCGATGAGGGGAAACTTCCGCCGGAGGCCAGCGAGAGCGCGGAGCTGGCGGCGCCATAGGAGCTGCTGGCTGGGCTGAAGCTGCTGGATGAGTTGTAGGAGCTACTGGCTGGGCTGAATGAGCTGCCAGTAGTGAATGAGCTGGATGGGTTGTAGGAGCCGCTGGTAGAGCTGTAAGAGCTGCTCGCTGGACTGTACGAGCTGCTGCCTGCGCCGTATGAGCTGCCGGACGGGCTGAAGGAGCTGCCGGACGTGCCAAACACGCCAGTGATGGCGGAGGAGTAGTTGGCCAGCGCCGAGCCCGGCTGGTACCCGGACCCCGAGCTGAAGCCGGATGAACCGCTGTAGGCGAGTCGCGGGCTGATGCAGGACGCGCCGCTCTGCGAGAGGCCCGCAGCCGAGCTGTACCCGCCCGTCAGCCGGCGCATCCCACCGTCCACCGGCATGGTAACTGCTACAAGTACCACAGATGACCCGCCGACCCGACGACCGACACCTAACGAAGGCGCGCTACGGACACTACTGAAGAGCGCAGACTGCCACCGACGGCGTCGACGTACGGGTTCCCGTCGCGGCCGCCAGGGGCGCCAGCAGCGCCGACCGCCGACGGACGGCCTTCAGAGGAGAGTTATTTGTGGCGAGGGCCGGCCGGGAATACTTCGGGCGCGGGGCAGCCGCCACCGTCCGGTGCGACAGACGGATAGACGCGGACGACGGCCGCGCGCCGACCGCAGCGCGACGGGACGCCATGGCCTCGACCTGCCAGCGGCCCGGCGCTAACACACACAGTCAGGCGTTAGAGACAGCGTCCCGGCCAAACACCGGACCCGGTGTCCACACGAACTACGGTGAGGAGTCGCGCTACCACTGGATACAGCGTATTCAACACACATAAATCAGCGATGTAGCACCTGAGGGGGCCGGGGGGAGGACTCCAGCAATCAATCGCCTGGCATAGCGCCCGTGGAGCGGCATTCATGACCGGCAGAACGGCGACTGATTGACCGAAAAGTCATAATTTCCGTCATCATCTCTGGGAGACTAAAACCCCAGTAGATTCGCTGACTATCCAAAATGTAGCACGTTATCGTTTCCAGCCTATCCTCCTGTGTCCTACCCCTCGCACATCCAAAAGTCTGTCGCAAACGGAGAAGTCACAGGACCGTGTTTCGAATCGTGAACAGTCACCAGCTGCCATCAGGTACTCACGGAGATCGAGCTCGCCGCCGTCTTCCGCCACGGACGAACCATGGCCTGACCGGCCTCACCAGGCTATGGATGGCGTCTTAGCCTAGTGACAACGCCAGAGAACACGAACACTATCAGATGACGCTAACACCGACACTAGTAGGACTCTTGCGGAGGTAGCTCCGACAGAAAGATGCCCCCGACCGTCCGACCGTGCCTGCACCGAGCCTTTGTACCGAGCAATACCAACTGTCCGCGTGGGAGCAATACCAATACAGCCACGGCCGCTGCTGCCGCTGTTGTTAGTATTGGCCGGATAGAGGCACAGCCTGGAGTCAGTGGTTACTCATCCTGGACTGGAAGGAGACAGCTGCAGCTGGCTGAAAGGTTTTATATAGAGACGGATACAGATTTATGAACCGAAAATATGTCCCCGACTAACCACGACATCCACGTGAAAATAGTTGGGGCAGATCTTGATCCAGGTCTGGATCGAGTCAGGGAAGGGATTAGGGCATGTCAGGCCAGGTCAGCCGAGTACTCACCGTCGCTGAGTCAGCTGCGTCCGCCTCCTTGCCCTTCTTCTCGTTCTCCTGAGGGCGAAATATGGGAGAACACGGTTAGAGCGGGAGTCGATCAACACGCTCACACACAAACGTACGAACTGTATGCGGCATACGCTCTGAACTGTCCATTTATCTATCTGTTCAGCTCACTACCCTGTCTCACGCGTGTCGCCATAAACATAAGAATCTCCAAGTCTTAGACTCTGGAGCTACGCTCTCTCAGTGGATCAGAAAACATGAAGGCAATCATACTAGTCAAACAGTAACAACCAGAAACAACACTAATCAGCAACGAAGAGCAGCTACAGCAGCTACAGCGGAAGCAGCGACACTAATCGGCAGTCTGATACAGCCAGACAGCAGCTAGAGCAAAACCAACAGCAGCAACATAATCAGCAGCACTAGCAGCAGCAGCTACAGCAGCATCAACAGCGACAGCACTACCGGCAGCAGCTACGTCATTGGGAACACCCTGGGAAGCCGAGTCGACCGTACCTCAGCGTCGTACTGGACCACACCGGTGGAGCGGCGCTTGGGTTTGCGCCGCCGCTGGATGGTGGCCTGCGAGGCTGCTGCCGCTGCCGCTGCCGCCGCTGCTGCTGCCGTCCGGTTGTCGTTCTCTTTGTCGTCGCCTGCCGGGGGATGGGCACAGGTGTGATTGTAGTGGAGTGGATGGAAGGAAGCGAGCTCAGACTGCTAACCCACTGAGACAGTGGCAAAAACTCGGGAAGAGGCGAACATCCGATTGCAACATCTGACTGCATTCAGTCTGATCTAGTTATGACTGCGAGTTGCCACGATCAGCTATGACATCTTGTCGAACCGTGCGTATTAGCATCATTTAAGGACTCGTCCGCCTCCACAAGATCCCCACCCTCCTCACATACAACACACCCCATCGTCGCTGCGCTGACCCTCGCTGACCCGCCCCTCACTCACCCCTGTCGTCAGCAGCAGACGGGGCGGCGGAGGCCGGTGCCGAGTCCGCGCCACTGGCTTTCCGCCGCAGCGGCAGGGTGACGGTGGTGTCCGGCTCGGGGCTGGTCGGTGTCGCCGTCGACGTGCGGCTGTTGGCGCGTGACGCGTCTCCACCGCCGCGCACCTCCTCCAGAGAGAACTGGGTGGTAGTGGCGGGCGGCGCACGGACGGGCGGGGCCGGGGTGGGGGCGGGGCGGGGCGGCTGTTAGCGGGTTAGAGCGGCGGCGGCCGAGTCCCGGTAAGCCAGCCAGTCAGAGTCCCCAGCCACCGAGCGAACCAGAGCAGTGCAGCCCACTTTTGTGTTAACGCCCGGGCCCGACCCAAGCACTCCCCTTCCTTAGACCCGGTCAAGTCGGCCATCGGGACGGAACTACGAGCCCAGTAAACCAACCAAAGTCAGCCGGATACCCGCGTATCCCTGGGGTAGCTTCCTAGGTCCATATATACAAAGCAGCCGCCAAATACAAAACAGCTGCAGGCAGAGTGTGGAGCCAGCCGCCGAAAACTACGGGACCCGCGGCCTCCAAGCTACTACATTGTTCCAGAGTCACTACATTTACAAAAAGATAAGCTTGAGAAAATACCACCCGAGTTATGCAAGTTGTACAAAAAGCGCAAAAGCAAAATTGACGAATGCCCAAAGTAGTACTCTACGCAAGAAGCACCGGAAGCACGAAGTACCAAAAGCACGCTGGATTGCACCTAACTATGTCCAGTTAGTGTTAGTAATGGCTGGTTTGCGGTGTCTGGGGGTATTTCACGACACACAGGGTACGGTATACTCCCCGTCGTTCTCAGAACACTGTGAGTACGAATATAATTAAAAAAAAAACGACGGACGGACGGTGGAACATAGATAACGAAACAACACTGCATGGTGTATGTGTGACAATTGAACAACGTTTAGACTGGTTTGTCTTCCACGCTTAGCTCAGAGTGTTTCCACCACTCTGCTGAGAAAATCAAACAAAAAAATGACGGAAGCAAGGCGCTAAAAGAAACCAAATGTTCAAACAGCACAAGCTTATCAACTGCTAGCGAAAAGCCTACGCAAAATAAAACTCGCGCGGGCAGGCTTACACCGTCAATCGACAACGAACACTCGGAAGCAAATCAACAAAAATAAACACATCTGAGCATATGTAAGCGGCTGGGTCTGGCCTGCTCTGTTGGCGGCAGCGCCGGCCGGCCGGCAGTCAGGCCACAGTACCTTGTTCTTGTCTCCCTCATCCAGCCGCAGTCGCCAGGAGGGCCGCCGCTCCATCTGCTGCTGCTGCGACTGCTGGTCGTCCCGCGACGCGGGCTCCTCGCGTGCCGCCGGAGCCTGTGCACACGGCGCGGGTCAGTCTGACAATAACGGCATACGGAGTAAACAGACAAACGGGAATTACCGTTCGTGGAAAACCGATAGAGCCTAAAGGGCCGGAGTATTTCAAGGTTCCATTTTTGTGGGGTCGGTCCACCTCGACACCTAGCCTAGAGCTAAGAACCCCTTATGATTTCGTAAACCGAACCATGGGAAAGCCATCTGCTAGCCCTTGCAAGTCCCAACCATCACTCACAGCGGGCGTGGAAGACTTTTGCTGTTGCTGCTGCTCCTTCTGCTGCTGTTGGTTTTTGACGTATTGCTCGGCCGACTTGATTTCGTCGAAGGTGACACCCTGTGTGGATCGGCGCGTCTCGCGGGCCCGCTTGGCGTGGGCCTTCCGCTGCGTCTCACTCTCCTCCTCCCGCGTCGGCGGCACGAACGACCTGGGAGGTCAGGTGACGGGTCAAAGCGGAACGACACGATCTGGGAGGTCAGGGGGTTAGGTCAGATGGACATGAACGACCTGAGAGGTCAACACTAACAGGTCAGACAGACAGAAACGATCTGAGAGGTCAGAGGGCGGGTCAGAACGGCACGACCGAGAGGTCAGTGGATTAGGTCAGGAAGGAGTTGCAAGAAATACCTGACGTCATGGGTAAGGTCGGGTCAGGACGACACGAGCCAGCTGGAGTCAGCGTAACAGTAAAGGTTTACGGCGGCACGAACAGCCCGAGGTTAGCAGGACGGGTCAGGTTGTGCCGGCTCGAACGACCTAAGGTCATGGATCAAGTCAGGATGACACGAACGACATGAGGTCATGGGCCGGGTCAGGATGGAGAAACACAAACGACCTACATTCAAGCACTAGCAAGGAAGAGGCTCGGGCCAAGCGGCAATGTTGAAGCGTCAGAATGCAAAGGACGCTTCTCAGCATGTCAATCCAAGCCCCAAAATGTCGCTCCGAGCCGAGCAGTACGGATGGAGTGCCTGGACATGACGAACGGAATCAGCAGCTTCCGAGTCTGTAGAAGGCGTGTGTGTTAGCTGATTAGGTGTGAGTAAATAACCACAATCATGCCTAACGCTGAGTATCCAATAGCTCGGTAGGGTTGTAATTTGCTACTACGATTAGTCAAAATACGTCACACTGCACTCAGTTATTAACGCTTGTATCGCGTCTTTACCCCACGCGGAAATTGGGGCCTGTCTTTTGCCGAATGTATGTTAGCTCGAAAAGGTCAGCCAGCCCCGCCCCCGGCTGGTCGGCAGCTTTGAAACGACAGAAGAACGACCAGACACGCAGAGTAGAGGACAGATCAAACCAAACAGCACACGGACAGGCAGACGGACGGATAAGACGACGTTCCGTCCAGGCGGGTCACACAGCAAACCACGAGCCGGGCGACTGAGCGACACTGACTTGAAGATGTTCTTAAATATGGTGGCCGGGCTGAGCTTGGAGCCGGCGGTGGCAGCGGTCGGGGAGACGGCCTGCTGGTCCACCTGGACGCGCGCCTGGGTGGTGGCGGCGCGCGCCGGAGGTACCGGCGGCTGTTCGGCCGGTGGGCCGTCCGCCACCGTGGCGCCGCTGCGGCAGCGGGTGGGTCGGTACCGGGCGGCGTTCTGTATACCCCGACTCGGCGCAGTAGCCGCCGCCATCCCCTCCCACCCTGTCACCCTGTCCCGACTGGACGCGGAGGCGAACGTCAACCCACCCACACCCAGCACAGGAAAGAACCGAACAGCACCAGGGCTAGGACCGGTCGACGACTTCCGCCAGAGCTGTGAATTGTGATCGGCACTGCCCGGTCTCCCTACCACCTCCCCATCAGAATCATTTTCCAAATGGCAACTGCAACGGCGGATCCTGTAAAATAGATGCTAGCCGCACGGGACCTACAATTATCATACCTATCCTGTGCAAGATAAAAGGGCAAAATACTAAAAATTGGAAATGCCGGGAACACGTCATCGCCTTTGAATTTAACATTTGAGTTTGACGCTGGGACTAAATATGCACAAGAATGAACATTATTCATTCATTAATAATTTTTAAATGTTTTTCTCCCCAATTCCCATGCATAACTGTGCGATGTTTATACAACCGTGCGACTGATGTGTGACGTCTTCACGCCACGTCGCTATATTCCGGCCCGCAGGCGGCTGCACCGGCGCGACATAGTGGCTGGCATAGGTGCGACATAGTGTGCATCTGGCACGACTCACGCCGATCGTATCGGGGCGGCATCTGGCCGCATGCATACCAGCGCTGCCAGCGGCCGGCGCACGGCCAGCGCGAGACCCGCATACCGTGACGCCCTGGTGACAGCTCGTGACGCGGCACTGTAATGTGCTAAAAACTAATAGCTCCGCGGCAGTATATGTAGCCTCGTATGAATAAACATCGCAACATAGTGTGCATCTGGCACGACTCACGCCGATCGTATCGGGGCGGCATCTGGCCGCATGTATACCAGCGCTGCCAGCGGCCGGCGCACGGCCAGCGCGAGACCCGCATACCGTGACGCCCTGGTGACAGCTCGTGACGAGCTGTCACTTGAATGCTGCCAAAGTCATTCAAGATTTCTTCCCAGGACTCGGACACATCGTGCTGGACGTGGTGAATGCCAGTCTGGAGACCGGTAGAGTCCCGGCATCGTGGAAACACGCAATCATAACCCCGATTCCCAAGGGAAAGCGTGTCACGTCAGACCCGTCCAGTACGCGGCCTATCTCAATGCTGCCGGCAATCACCAAAATCACCGAGAGGGCCGTTCAACTCCAGCTCACGGACTACATGGAGACCCACCACCTGCTGAGTGAGGCACAGCACGGATACCGGCGAAAACACTCGTGCGAGACTGCCCTTCATGTTGTTACTGATGATGTACTGCGAGCAATGGACTGTGGCGAAATTACCCTCTGGGCAATGGTTGACCTTTCGAAATGTTTTGATATGGTGCCGCACGACAGACTGATCGAAAAATTGTGTTTGTATGGTATTGATCCTTTTTGGATAGAGGATTATTTACAAGGTCACACGCAACAGGTGCAGATTAACAACCATAGTGGATGTTCGACGCGATCGTCTTCGAGACGGAACTCTATAGGCGTCTACCAGGGGGGATCTCTGAGCTGTATATTATGGTGCATTTTTGCTAACGACCTATGTCTTCATGTGCCAGAATTCGTAAAAGTGGTTCAATTCGCCGATGACACCCAAATCTGGACTACCGGTGCAAAGCAGGATTTACCGGAGCTTGTGAACCGAATTGAAACTGCTTTACAATGCATGTTTGATTGGTTTTGCGATCATGGTATGAGAGTAAATGAGACAAAAACAGAGTTCTTGGTGATGGGCACGAAACAAATGCTTAGGAATGTTGGCAATGTAAGTGTTAAATTTAACCATGCAACGATCAGATCCACAAGCCAGGTTCGCAATCTTGGTGTGATTTTCGACCGCAACTTAGATTTTCAGCCACATGTCGATCACTTGATTCCAAAATGTACTGCAATGCTGCTCGCGCTGAACCATGCCAAACATGTTATTCCCATCGCGACTGTGAAGTACCTTGTGCAAGCTCTAGTCTTTCCCACAATGCGGTACTGCATGTCTATCTATGGAATTTGCAACAAAACCCAGGTGCGTCGTATCCAAAAATTAGTCAACTTTGCCGCACGTGTCGTGACCGGACGCCGGAAAACTGATCACATTTCAGATGCAGTACGAGCGCTGGGCTGGTTTACTGCTGAAGAGCTCATAACTTACCACCGAGTTCTAGTCATTCGCCGACTGTTAGACTACCATGTGCCGTCACCCATAGCTCAGACTATCTGCCCTCCCGCTCACCATCAGCACGATCACAATACACGGACTGCGGGTCTCCTCTCTGTGCCGCGCATCCGCACCGAGTCAGGGCGCAGTCGTTTGTGCTACAGTGCTGTGAAGGCGTACAACGACGTACCGAGACCACCCGGAATGTCTTTCAAAACCGCTACCAAGCGGCATCTGTTTAGCCGCCGCGATTGACGCCTATGTATGTACTCGTATCGTTCGCAGACGTTATTCGGGCATGAGTGGTGTGTCGTGTCTGATTTGCAGTGAGCTGTGAGTTTGTGAACGAGTGCCCCCCATCAACGATGTTTGTTTACTTCTGTGACGTGCAATGACGAAAAGCCACTGATTGCAGTGGACTCGTTGTGAATAAATAAGTTTCAAGTTTCAAGAAGTGCAAGTGCAACATATGGCAGGTTCTCCAACAATTTTGACAAGGGCTGTGGGTGATTAATCTGAGACGGATCTGCCCTGAGGCTATCCTGGACTAGCCTGCAACTGCCTTGTGGTTTAGCGATTCTTCCTCCGTGCCCATGACTGCGCTGAATTTATATCAGCCCACCCCGTAGTCCATTTATATCCCTTATATTTCATCAACCCTCTCCCATTCCTCCACCCCTACTCCCACCTATCATCAATTGTCTCACCTGCGCGACGGCGCCGTCGTCGGAGCGGTCGTCGGTGTGGTCGTCGTCGGCGTTGTTGTCGCCGGCGGCGGGGTCTGGATGATGGTGGCCGATACGGTCTGTTCAGCGGGCGCCGACTGGACGCGTCGAGAGTCGGACGGCTCGGCAGGCCGCGCCGGCTCCTCCCGGGGCTTGTCTGCGGAGGGAGAGACGGTAAGGTCAGGAAGGAACTGAAAACCATACCACTCGGCTATGGTAGCGTCGCTCGGGTCCCATCCCGGTCCTGTGTGGATCAGTAGCCGCGGAGGTTGGTCGCCGTATGCCCTTCTCAGCTCCATACTCACTCGATCGGGAGTCGTCGGGCGCCGAGAGTCGCTGCGCAGCGGCCGGCCGCCGCCACGACTGGGTGTCCGTCTCGGGCGCGCCGTCCGGAGGTCGCGGAGAGAAGGCAGGGGGTGTCGGCGCCGCCGGCTGGCTGGCCGGCCGCTGTGGCCTCGCTGGCTGCGGCTGGCCGGCCTTCTTCCGCAGCTCTGCGGGCCAGGCGGACAGACGGCGCGGCTGTAGCGGCCCGCTCATCACACAAACACACAGACCACAGAGCGAGACACGGCTGGTACCGCCGGCGCGCGGGCTAGTCATGGCAACATAGCGGTAACGCAACGCGCTGCCAACATGTATCACCTCTATGGTCACTATTTAGTTGTTATGTGACGAATAGCTTGATCTAGCGGGCATGTCTCACAAACAGTCAGCATTATCAACAGCACACCACTGCCACTCCCTTTATTATCAACAGCACACCACTCCCTCATAATTAACAACGCAACCAAACCGAAACAGTGTCTAATCCATCTGCGGACCACAATAAACTCCACAACAGAGCACACCACGGCACGTCGAGGCGCTACTCGGGGACGGGGACGATACTGACCCACTTGGTCGGCGTCGGCGGTGCGGGCGGGCGGCGGCTCTGCGGCGCGCTCGTCCTCTATCCGCATATCGCGGAGTCGCTCCATCTCCGAGCTGGCGTCCCGGGATACCTGGCTGGCCCGGTCAGAGGACGACATCCGCGTGATCGAGGAGCTGCAGCACAGAACGGAGAACGGCATGGTGAGGTGAAATGGCAAGCAGAGGGAAGATGGTGCGATAAGGGACGGAGGGTGTTGAAGAACCCGGACAGCAGGGAACAGACTAGATTATCAAGCGACATCATTTCCCAGCCAAATTGACAGTAAGAGCTAAAGATGGAGACACAAGATTGACAGGCATTAATTCATGAGTCAAACTGACTTCAGTGAAAGCAAGCACGGACGGTGCTCCCTAAATGATGGGGCCGTTTAGATGCGAGTGAACGGACGGTTCCGACCCCCGGCCCTGATATGTGCCTCTGACTGGTGTGCGAGCGGTGCCGCCTCCCGCCCGATGTCCGTCCCGGCACTGACCGTCGCCGGAAGGTGGGCTGCGGCCGCCTGCTGATGATTTCGGCCACCTCCGGTCGGTCGCGCGCCATCAGAGCCTGCTTCTTCTTCAGCTGCTCCAGCAGCGTCAGTACCTTGTCGTCCGCCACGCCGAATACGGTCAGACCCTGGAGAAATGCAGCATAGAGGGAGGAATGGTCAGACCCGGGAGACGTCAGGGAACGTCGACACCCTAGAGAGGCACAGTGCAGAGGAAGGTGGCGTAGAGAGAAACATGACACACAAAGAGGTGACAGTCAGAGTCAATACAGAGATACAACACAAGCATACAATACGATGTTCATGCAGAGATACAAATTACAGGCGAATGGGACGTCAGCTGATCCGGGAGCAAACAGAAAGAAGGAGGCAGCGGCGAGACCATGGTCACGGCGACAGAGGAATGAGCCGGTCGGGCTCTTTAGGCAGGCACAGCGTGTCGATGAATACTGCAGCAAGATTTGAAGAAATATGCCACATAGGTACTAATATGGATTGATGGGCAGCCCAGCATACGACTGCTTGCAGCACCTGATACTAGGGCCTTGTCACACATCTGACACTGAAGCTGCGACTGGTCCGAGGTACAGAGCAGTCCACAGCACGTCAGTCGACCCCGGTCAGCCCTGAGACCGCCCTCACCCTCTCTCCTGCGCCCGCCGAGCTCTGACCTGGTGGTTTTTTATGTCCATGTTGCAGAGGTTCTCGGCCAGCACCTGGCAGGCCTCGGGCTGCGCCCAGTAGCCGGCCGCGTGCAGTGGCGTCCAGCCGTCATAGTCCTGCGCGTTGATGTCGGCACCGCACCGTAACAGGAGGCTGTGCGGAGAGACGAGAACGGTCAGCATCATATGACGTACTACGTAGGCTGTGCAGTTCAAACAAGCAGCTACTCTACACATTACAGCAGACTATGCAGACAGATAGGACGAAAGTAACGACTCCAACACAGCAGACTGTAAAAGCAAATGAGTACAACCAATCAGGTACTGAAACTGACCCTGTCTACTGGCTCTGTCAGTAAACAGGGTCACGAGTCGGGCACAAGATGAGCACCTTCATGATCGGCGCAACAACTGGCCGATCACTTCACATTTGAACAGAGCCATTCCACAGCTTCCGCGCCCCGGCATCCCTAATCTGCGCCCTGCTGTACCACTACGGTTTGTCGTCGTCCCATGTCCACTCACTCCATCGCCTGGATGTATCCTTTGGCGGCTGCCACGTGCAGGCCGGTGGCGCCCGTCTTGGGGTGCGGCTGTTCCATGATCTGTCCGGCGTTGATCCACTGGCGGGCGTCCGAGAGCAGTCGGTTCTGCTCCTCGTCCTTCACCGCCTCACAGTCGATCCCTGACGCACGGGACACGGGACGGGTCAGAGGCGGCAGAAGCACACGGACGTGGGACGGATATGGGACAGAGTCGAGCAGGGACGCGACACAGCACTGCAAGTGGGCACGGCACGGAACCGGGTATGGCACGGAAACGACCAGTTCGCGGAAGGTACGGGAGAAAAGGCTCCGTGACACCACTGTTAGCACAGCGTCGCTGCTTGGTCGACCTGCCGGTTCACTCTGTTATAGGACAGCACAGATCCTGTCCTCTGACTTTGTGAGCGGTGTTGTGTCATGCATTCGTGTATGGCACACATCGACACCTTTTTTTAAACCCCACATCTGCTCTCCCGTGAATTTCCGGGAGGCACGAAAGATCTCCTTTTAAAAGTGTCCAATCGTCCGATCCTGATCAAATATGTGTGTTCGTAGGCCTGTTCTGGTAATGCTTTATCTGCCAAGACAGACAAACTTGAGAAAAATCGAGTGATTGTACCTTTTTTGAAGGTCTCTAACCAACTTGTCTGAAATTCACCGGAGAACAAATGTGGGGTTTAAAAGAAAAGGTGTCGACATGCAGTAAAGTTATGGCAGCCACAATTTCGCAACGCCACGTTTGCAACTTCACAACAATGCCACGTTTCTTCCACAAACAATCAGTTTTCTTTCCTACTCGGTCCACTACCTCAACATTACCAACCAGTGCTAACGACTACCGCATTGCATTTTCTCTACTGTCTGCCAAGGAAGGTCCAGCCCCCTACTCCGACCGCGGGGACGCGTATAACTCACCCCGAACGGCGATCTCGTGCCGCAGCAGGTCGCGGACCTCGATAGCCTCCTCACACAGGTCCACCGGCAGCTCGCCCTCGTTATTGACAGCGGCCACGTCGGCGCCCTGGTCTATCAGGTACCTGGGGAGAAGACGCAGGTCGGAGGTCACTCAGTTGCAGCTGTCCAACGGTCGTGAGGCACGCGGAGTGCGACACATTGGAAGGACCTTTTGGACACCCTCCATTGACCTACTTCAGAATCAGCACAGTCCCACAGAAGTAACAGCACACACTGCACAAAATTTAATAGCACAGACGTCGTGAAAACACTGCATCTACCTACTGGACACAGCAGGCACGTGCCATAATACTGGTGCACGCTGGATATTGGTTGAATGGTTCACTGGTAGATGCAGGGAAAGAGTTACAGGCACGTCGGTAACCTCAGGTAAATCGGAAGCTGTACACATGCACCACATCGATAAATACGGGTACATACTCACGTCCTAGCAATCCACTCTAATCGACGACCACGAATCCGGGTCTGCCGAATCGCCTCCTCTCGACTGGGCCGCTGCCAAAGGGCCACATGCTCCGCGCACTGCTCGCGCCCCTCCCTCCCCTCCATGCAATCCTAACCCACCAGCCAGCATGTAAGCCCGATTCTCGGCGCCGAAACATCGCACAGCGAGCCGCTCCGCTGCTTAGAGGCGCAAGAGGTGTCGTGCACGATTGGCTTTATGCGACCCAAGTGGTGTATATGGGTGATTTTTAGGTCCTGAACCACTCAATTCTGAGGTTAATCTGCTGCAGTTCATGCTACCTCATCCATTTTGAGAAATGGTGACAGCAGCTATGATCAGCCAATTATAAGCAAACAGGACACATCAAGAGTTGACAAACAAGGGGTCCAAATCGTTAGAGAGTATTAACAGGTTTCATTACCAGCTAAATCAGTAGGTTAACTTTTTCAGCCCACTCAATGTCTGATAGGCAGAACTAGGTACTGAGAGATAATTGGACACTATTCAACTTGTCCACTTATCCACTTAATAGGTATAAAGCATGAAGCTCAGGACACATGTCACAACACATGAAGGCAAGAAGTCCCTCAAGTGGGAATAAAGCTGCTTTTAAGGCGAATCACACAGAGCACACTGATTTGTTCTACCTCAGTCAGCTTGCAAAGCCTAAACATGAACAGTTCACCTTATGTGTACTCCAGGTTAGATATAATTTCTAGCTTGTTTTGGGACACAATGCATTACTGGCCTTTGTAAAGTAAAATTCTGAATAAGTATAACCTGTAGAAGTTCATTTTAAGTTTAAAATGCACCTATTAGCATGGTTGTTGATTTTCATTTAGTGCTCAGTATCACAGCATACAAAAGAGAACAGTCCCTTATGCCTGATTTCTTTTTTAAAAAAAGTGAAAGCTCATCCAACAAATTTGTTGGGCAATAAGCAACAGCAATATGATAAGTACCTTCTGAGCCATAACTGCAGGTTCACTGGTAATATACCTCTTCCCAAGAGCAGTACAGACCCACATTAAGCACTTTGGTGGCCTGACTGGGCACTAAGTGCCTAGCTGAACACCAAAATCTCAAAACAAATTGGCAAAGTACTTTCTGACTAACTGGGAATGGTGAGTACATGAAACTAAAGATGATGCACAGAAGCTTGGGGAGAGGTGATAATGCTGCATTATAGGTGGGAAAAAGGAGAAGACATATCCACTAGTTTACAGTCTGAAATCTGAATATGCACTAAAAGGCTTATACAGGCATCCACTGCTTGGCTGGAAAATGCATGCTGTTATTATCAAAACTGACTTCATGTTAAAGCAGCACTGGTTGGTTGGGAGGCTTACCTTGCCAAATCAAGGTGGCCACAGGAGGAGGTAACGTGGAGTGGTGTCCAGCCCTCATTGTCGCCCTGGTTGACGTCTGCACCGTTTTCTACCAGGAACTCCACCATGTCCAGCTCATTATCAATACAGGCCTGGAAACAGAACATATGCATTGGAAAAACAGTGGGTAGGCACTATAAACATGACAATTAGTTCATTATTAATCATTTTCCCAACACATATTTTGATAACTTATAAATTGGCATTCTAAGCAAAAAAGAAAATACAGCTCCAATCCCAAATGAATGACCATAACTATTCCCTCCACTTAGCCATTATGTGACACCTATATGACAGCACTTTCCAGCTTCCCTGAACGGAAACTACAAGAAAATTATAAATTGCGGTAATTGATAAATATATAAACATGTTATTGGTGACCAATATAATCTGTAAATATGTTGTTATCATAGTAAACAATAGCTAGGGCTTGCTGACACTATATTAGAGATAATAATTCAACATAAGCCACTATGTGCAACTGTTACAAATTCATCCGCAAACAAACGTGGTGGCAGTAATACCTGGTGAAGAGCCGTTATACCATCCATGTTGGCAGTATTTATGTCAACTCCCTTAACTAAAAGGCGTTTTGCTTCATCAGTATCGCCCGCAGAGCAAGCAGCCAGGAAGACACAAGGATCAGAAAACATGATCCTCCGGTTATTATCCTTGGGTGTTGTCCCTTCTTTGCTCGTTGCAGACTCCTCCCATCTTCTTAGCTGCTCTGCACGTTTCGCTTGAGGGGTAACACTGTTGTCAATGAGTTGAGGAGTCCTGAAAATCGCGGAGTTTCGTGTATCTCTCGACATTTTTGGTTGCAAATATCACAGCACATCATCAAAACTCATCTCCAGTCCTCAACATGGAGGGAGCGGCTGCACATCCACTCGCATCTGACACCTCAACACACATCCCGGCTGGCATATTCCCTGACTGAACTAGCGAGTTGACCATTTTCTTACCAAGAGACATCTGCCGGCAGGAGTTCATACTTCTAGGCAAAATAAACCATGAAGTACGGATAAATAAAAATATGCGATTTGTCAATTGAAAATAAATCAGTGCATAACAAACCGGACACAAAATCACGTATTTATATTTGTCTTCCAAATACCAAATTACATAAAACTCATAACAATCGAACTCTGACGACAAGCACCAAACACTAGGTAGGCTTTTGCGAATCCGCAAAAATAGGTAGGTATCTATTTGCGTCATTGGTGTCTGCTGAAGATGCTTGTTTTGTTGCTGTTTGGTATTCGACATTGATGGCTATGAATAAATCCACAATTCGTAAGGTATAAGATAACTCAAATTTCAGCAAAAGCAGAGATGCGAGACATACCACTTCCAAGGCCATACCGCAAGTCAAGTTTGCATCTCTAATAGAAATAAAAATTAATCGTTTCATGATTCATGCTTTTTAGGATGAACATTGAATAAATTTTCATATAAAAGAAATTCTCAGGAAGAAACTTGCAATAAATATCAAAACATTTGAAAATTGAAGCACTTAATTATTTTATTTCAAAGGCGGCGCCGCAAAATATTGTAAACTTCCTTTTGAAACAAGCACGATCGTGGTTAGTGTGCGGCAAAATCCATACTACTGTTTTTTGTATTTATTAGGCAATGGCGTACATTTAGAAGTGTTTTCGTAGCTTTTTGTGTGTATTTGATTAATAAAAGTATTGTTTTGCTTACAATGGCGCAGCTTTAATGCTTTTAATGCTTTTGCAGCTTTATATCCGGTATCGTGATACCGTCTTAAAGGAAATAGTTCACTTTTAACATGGGGTTTGGAGCTGGAATAGCAGTTTTGTTGCTTGCGCTGAGACTAGCACAAATCAGAAGCTTTTACGGCCCAACGATCACCCTAGACGAAGATATTCCATTTTTCGTTCCGAAAAGAGTGCCTTGCAGAGGAATGCAGTCACGTCATCGTCAGCCAATCAGAATGCTGCTTACAGCCGATGGGTTTGTCCTACGCAATATGATTGGTCAACGCGTAATAAGCTTCCGCGTCAAACATCATTTTATATAGAATATAGTTCTTCTTATACTAAAATATAGAAAATAATCCTTTTTACAAAAACGTTTTGTTTTATTTTCTGATCATTTTGAGCATAAAAAAAACATAAATCCATAGCAAAATACTAATTTCAGGAAAGTGAACTATTTCCTTTAAACGTCTACAATAAATCAGCAAAAAATGAAAATGGAAGGACATAAGCTAAAAAGTTGCTTTATGATATGCCACAAGATGTTAGTGGAGGTGATAATAGTTGTAGCTGGTACATGTTTTTCCACTTGAGATTGGTTTGTGGCGGGTGTCTGAAATGGTCCTGAAAAAGCCGTAATCGCCACGCCATATGTGGAAGGCTTTTGGTGTCGATACATACATGCATACATACATACCTGATGCTCCTCAAATTTACCATCTTCTAATTTTTGTGGGCCTACTTTCATGTATGCCAAAGCCTTATGCACAATGTCATCCCTGTGGCCAAGTGGATAAGGCTGTCTCCTAACTTGGCAGTGAGTTCACAGCCAGGAAGCTCCATGTTGTTTGACCTGCGCTCCTATATTTAGCCAGCTGGCAACTGGCGAGAGAGGGCCATGCTAGATCTGGGAGGACCATGCTGCCTTATACCTGCGGCACGTTTAACTTTCAATCCAAATTATCACCGGACGAGGGCAAGGCGGGGTGGCGGGTCCGTGATTTCATTCCCAACAGGCACTGCTTAGCGGGGCACCCTGGCCCATAGCCACTCATTCATCCATTCTGACAAAATAAATAAATGTATGTGACTACCAAGTACCAGGTATATATTGATGCTTCAGTTTCATAGAATTAAGTAAACAAATTCAAGACATGGAATGAATTAATATGTCTGAAGCTATAATTATAAATCTGAAGTATGCAATTTGTTGATATTTTCAGCATTGGTATTCAACAGGTATAAATGCTAAAGTTGCTTAAAAAGTGTATGGCGGGCTTACTCTAGATTTTATTTAATCAGTGTTGGTAAAGCTGGTGTTGCCATTGGCTGTAGGTATGTAGTAGGTTGTAACTTGTAGGTTAGTAGGTTGTAGGTCAGGAGGTATGGTTAGTTCAGGTTTGGTTGTTTTTATTGCACTTCATCTACACAATAACGTAGATGCTGATGGTAACACCAGCTTTACTGATACCATTTCATCAGTTGTTTTCATTGCTTTGCTGTAGCACCTGTAAGGCCTAATTCATTAAATTTGCATTAGCTGTTACCTTGTTATACTGAAGTGCATCACTGGCTGGTGATAACTATTTAATGTGCAGGCATCTTGTGACTAAGGTTTTGTTAACCTTTCAGGTGAGCCACCATGACGAACCCCAAGGGATACAGGCGGGGTACCCGCTATATGTTTGCCAAGCCCTTCAGGAAACATGGAGTTGAACACCTTTCCACCTACATGAAGGTCTACAGGGTCGGTGACATTGTTGACATCAAGGTGAGTCATTTTTGTTAGGTATCTATTTCTGATACATGATCACCCCATGACTGACAGTAAATTTAAAATTATGAATCCTTAGCAGGAAAACATTTAAACTGTAAACATGTAGTTACCAAATCTAAAGTTTCTTAATCTTCTTTTCATTCATTGTATTGCTTGCATGAATGAATCATTGTATAGGATGCGGGTGTTGGCAAAAAAGGATTCAAAGTAACTGAACAAGTACAGGTAAAACTAGTATATCATGGACTTACATGTAATGTAAGTCCATGATATACTAGTATACAACTATAAAATGTATATGTAACTACATATTTGCATTTTATAGTTGTATCATGCTTCTTAACTTGTCACTTACCTATTAATTTTGTAAATGGCATTTATGGTGTGGGGCCTGGTGCGAATCACCAGTTAGGTCAAGTTTCAGCACAATTAGCATGTGTCCAGTCCAGGCTTGTTGAGATATAACAAGTTGAACAATTTGCACACCCCTGATTGGGCATGTGGCACAGGTTATGACATTCCTCCAAATGCACCATAATCTGATGCATGTATGGTATTCTGAGTGGTTGGGATAATGGCTGCCTGATATGTTAGCCACTAAGAAAGCTCACCATGTTGGGCTGGCCCATGTAGGAGCAGATATTCCTGGTAAGTCATGCAAGACTCAGAATTGTGCCCCCCCCCCCCACTCATCATCCTGATGGTGGCGTTCTGATGCTGGTACCTCGTTATTGTTCTCTCCTTTCAAGATAAACTTATGATTCTTCACCAGGGTAATGGAGCGATCCACAAGGGTATGCCACACAAGTGCTACCATGGCAAGACCGGCCGTGTGTACAACGTGACCCCCCACGCCGTCGGCGTGATCGTCAACAAGAAGGTGCGCGGCCGCTACATCGAGAAGCGCATCAACCTGCGCATCGAGCACGTCAAGCACAGCAAATGCCGTGAGGACTTCCTTAACCGTGTGAAGAACAACGCTAAGCTCCGTGCGGTGAGTTGAAGTTTTTTTGTAGTTTTTAAAACAAGAGGTCGTCACATTGTTACGAGCTAGCGAGCGCAGCGAGCGAGGCGAAGTGTTTTCAATATAACGGGAAAATCTCAGTATGAGCGGCCCGGCCTGTACCGCTTTTGAGAGGCTTATATCTCAGCAACCGCTGGACCGATTGGCCTGCAGTCTTTTTTGTTGGGTAGCCCCATCCCTGCTACCCCGTAATTGACTACTTTTGATACATCTCAGTGACCGTCGTGGCACGTGCCACGTGAAAAGTCAAGGGTGTTCAAGCTGTTTTGAAAAAGTAGTGATTTTGAGAGGCTCGTATCTCAGCAGCCGCTTGGGCGATTGTCTTGCGGTAATTTTTGTAGGATAGCTGCATCCCTTCTACCAAAGGTCGGATACTCTTGATCTATGTGAGTGACCCCTACTGCACGTGCAAAATGCAAAAAGAAGAGGTGCCAAATTTGTTCCCATTTCAATAACTCGGTAATTAATGGGGCGATTTCGCTGAAACTTGGCATACAGGTAGGCACCCACCAGGCAAAGCATTTCTATGTGTTGCGGCTAGGGTGCTACTGCACGTGCGCACGTGCAGGGGGAGCTTCCAGATCTCGAGAACGGCTGGGCCGATTGTGCTCAAATTTGATACACGGTTGGGGACCGGTTAGTAGGGTGCCGTGCAAAAGTCAGTTTGGACCCCGTTTGCACGTGCGCACGTGCAGAATGCCGCTTCCAGTACTCAGGAACGGCGGGGCCGAATGCGTTCAAATTTGGCACACCGCTAGCGACCGGTTAGAAGGGTGCTTTGCACAGGCCCGTTAGAAGTACCCTCTCACCCTTCCGCACGTGCAGGGCGGCTCTCTCTATCTTGCTCGCTCGTTCTTCGCCCAAAAGGCGTTTTACTGGTGTATAGCAATGTGAGGACCTGTGTATAGCAATATTGTGTATAGCAGATATACACAACGCGAACTTATTGGCTACAGGACAGCTACATGGCCATGATTAAGCTTAGACCACATCCAATAGATGTTGCTTGGACCTTTCCCACCCCCCCCCCCCCTCAATCGGTGCAAAGTGCCGAGGCATACGATTGTACATTGCCGTTACTAATAACATTTGCATTAGCGACAACGTCTCTAAGGTTTGGCATCTGGGGAGATGCCAAGATCGTAATACTACCTGCAAGTAAAAGTGACTTATCGCGACGTTGCAGTCTTTCGAATTGGAAGTTCATTGTAAATGCAGGTTAAGTAGCGCCATCTACCTGATCTACCGTTTGCAGCTGTGTCCCGTAATGATCACGGAATTTCACAGCTATAATAATTTAACGATGCCTGGTCATCCTCAGGAAGCCAAAGTCAACAAGACCAGCGTCAGCCTGAAGCGGCTGCCCAAGCCCCCGCGTGAAGCGCACGTCGTGAAGACGGCCGACACCACCATCCAGGACGTCCGACCCAAGCCCTACGAGTTCATCATCTAAGTGCTGTCACTATTACACGAAAATATACGTCGGTGAGCCACTTGCTGCCTTTCGTATGCCTCGTAGTTGTGCCAGAACAGCTTGGGATGTAGACGCAGACACGGGGAATGGGGATCGCGTCAGGGGCTTGCGTGAAAACTATCCGCTGCTACTGAAGTCGGCCAGGCTATGAAAGGGAAAGCATTTGCATTCGAGTCCCATCCCATTAGATGGGGATGGTAATCGCTTGTATCTTTCCAATCCATATTTCCACTAGCAGCTGCACTCGATGGTGTTCAGGATTGAATCGGTCCTGATGTCAGAGTACTTCAAGCACCTCGTGATTGCGTTTAAAACGCTAAGGACATGGCAGTGTTCCATTTTTGGGAATTTTGGGTGGAAAATCACACCTAATGGATAAAATATTTTCATCCCCAAAACCAGGTAAATTGGAATTCTTTCATCTTTGAAAAATGCTCAACTCATGCTCAACAATTAACAGCCAGATTACCAGATATACCTAGCAGCGCCATATAGACAGTTAGAATAGAACTTATAGGTTTGCTACATAATACATAATTTCCATGAAAAAAATCGAAATCAAGGCACAAACCCAACAACTCACCCTGACTGACAACGAAAGAAAATAACCTTAACGAAAGAAAATAACCTTGCACACTTCCAGCTGTTAATAACAAATATGCGATGAATGACCTTGATCACCTCAACTGTTTGTAAAAACCAGGCTTGTGTTCTGAATAAATGCTTTTGGATATTCATAACAACTATGATTAGTGGTTTGCTGCCAACGCAAAACGGATGAGCCGCTGCTTGCGCAAATTAAACACTACCTCTGCATTTCGCTTTTGACTAAGTTGCGCAGGATACGCCTACAAAATTTTCATCTTTGGACCCGCAGTCAGCTGGGCACACCCTGGCACACCCTAGGGATGAATTTAAAACTTGATTTGCTCTAACTTCTTTCATATACAAAATAGGGGTATGAGACAGGTACCAACTTATTCTACATTCATTTCTGATCCTATTGTATCAATTTCACCACAAATTATGTCCGTCAATGGCTTCTAGAGGACTTTAAAGCTCGATGCGTCGGGCCTGGCCGAGGTCCAAGATGAAAAAAGCCACCCTGCGCACACCCTAGGGATGAATTTAAAACTCCGCGGGCTCTGGCTGGTTTCATAGGTAAAATAATGTTTTGAGACCGATGCCAATATATTCTGCGTTTATTTCTGATCCTATCGCATTAATTTCGCCACAAATTATGTCCGTCAATGGCTTCTAGAGGACTTTAAAGCTCGAGGCGTCGCGCCTGGTAGAGGTCCAAGATGAAAAAAGCCACCCTGGGCACACCCTAGGGATGAATTTAAAACTCCGCGGGCTCTGGCTGGTTTCATAGGCAAAATAATGTTTTGAGACCGATACTAATTTATTCTGCGTTCTTTTCTGATCATATTATATCAATTTCACCACAAATTATTTACGTTATTAGTTTTTAGATGTCTTTAAAACTCGAGGCGTCGGGTCGGGCAGGGGTTCAAGATGACTGACACTCCACCCTGGCACACCCTAGGGATGAATATGAAACTCTGTGGACTCTGGCAGATTTCATACGCGAAATGAGGTTATAAGACCGGTAATGATGTATTTTACGTTAATTTCTCATGCCTTTGCAATAATCTTACCGCCAATTATTCATTTCAATTAGTTTCTAAAGGTTTTTAAACACGAAGCGTTCGGCCGAGGGAAAGCCAAGATGAATGATAGGATACCTTGGCACACCTCTAGGGATAAATTTAAGATACGGTATTCCCAGATCTGCCCAATACATGTTCTGAAGCTGGTAGATGGGATTAAGAAGGCCCTAGCTTTTTAATAAATTATTCCTCGCCCGTATAGGGGGGTCGAACGAACCACCCCCTCGTTTTTTTCGAGAATAACTCGCGTAAAAAGCGGCCGATCGCGACGAAACTTTCAGGACCCTCGAGTCAATTAATTTGACACCTACTCTGAAAATCTCATATTCCTGACCCAAATGACCTTTGACCTGTGACCTATTTCTTGAGGCCATGTTTGGCCGGAATCGCGATTCGGCGAGCCGCTAATGCGTTCCGTTCACTCCCGTTCCGTTTCGGGTGTTCTGGTCAGTTGTGCTCTCGCTTTCCCTTCTGCTTGGGGTGTCATCAGCGATCCTCCGTTCCGTTGCAGTTGCTCTGATCAGTGATCACTGATGCCCTCCGTTCTGTTGCGGGTGCTCTGATCACTGATCACTGATCATTGACGCTCTCACTCAGCACTTATCATGTGACATGATACGAAGCTACCGCTCCGTTTCGGTGGCCGGCCATGAGGTCGGTGGCATCCTATTATCATTTTTTTTGCATCCCGTTCCGTTCCGATATGGATGCCCTGGTTACTGGTTAGTTGCACGCTTTTTATTGCGATATTGCGTATTATGCTGCGCAGTGCACATCGTTCCGTTTGGGGTGCCCTAATCAGTGACCCTTTGTCTAGTCTCATGTAGTGCACCGTTCCTTTCGAAGAGTTGCGCTGACACCGTTTCCATTTTCACTATGCGTAATGAGTACCGACTATCGCTGGCCGTTCCGGCGTTCGGGCCGGGAGATTTCCGGCGTATGTCATGCTGCATAGTGCGACTGCAATTGCATACTCAATACTGCGTCCCGTTCCGTGTGCCCAGAGCAAAGGCACCATTTCCAGTATCATCCGGCCATTGTCATATCTGTTGAAAATGGAAAGCTCAAAGCTATACTGCGTACACTGTACGAATATTACCAGATCAGATGCGAACGAAAACTACATACTTATATTGCCGCATATTATCTCAAATATACAGTAATCTTGGAAGCGGTGCTGCCATATTGTAGGCGCAAAACGTCCCAGAGGCCAGAACACATGAGTTATACGGTTTCCGGTTTCATAGCGATCAGTTACGTCAACAAACTGCCCATCAGGGTATCATGATTACCTAAAATTTTATGTCTGACAGTGTCACAGTAATGACCACGCCTCACGCATTACGCAGTCTGAGTCAACTGCACTAAATCAATAATACAGGACGACAGAATGATACCCTTTGCAACGGCAAAGACAGGTTCCTTCCCACTTCCTTTGCTTAAAAAAGAAAGAAAACTTCTCCACATGGCACTAGTACCAAAGCCTGCATATAGAGATAGCTCCCTCACCCGCCCCTCCCCCACCCTCCTTAAGATATGACAACAGATTTCAATAGAATCATTGCATCTTCTGCTTCTTAAAGACCTAGTTCGCTCGCATGATGGCGACTGGCGTCGCGAGGATGAAGGTCCGCGGATGATTTTCTTTAGGAGAAATATACAGGCAGAAGGACCGTCCTGGATCCGTGCCAGTAAGCATGAGTAGGAACTTAGCAGATGCTGACGGTAATATCTGCTGTCTGCATCTGAAACGGAAAGGAAGGCATTGATTTAAGGCTAGGAGAAGGATGGCCACTGGACAGTCATTCAATTGTGACAATGCATTTTTACTTGTGAGGAAAATGAAATATCATTGGTTGAAGTAGGAATTCATTCTTAGCTGTATAAGAGACAAGGGTGATTCTTAACTTCATTAGTCTCAATCAAACACAAAGGTTGGGATAAAATGGGACGGATTTCGAAACACTTGGCGATCAGATGCCAAAGTTATAATTCTGCCGTATATCACCCTTACCTATTTGCATCGTCTTTTTCGGTTAGTTTTGGTGGTCAGGAATGGTATGTTCTTTTATTATCAGCCAGCGTAGCGTTACGCCTTTATTGCGAAAGTGATATAGGTTTTCACTTGTTTTTTTTTTTCATCCTAGATTTTTTGGTCATCATCGTCACACCCAAGCAAAATCCAATTTTAGAACACTGGGACATGGGATCCACAATAGCGCGCTTTAGCCCTCGCCAGCCGAGGGGGAGGGCGAGTGCCGCCCCCCCCCCCCCATAGGTTTTTTCGCGATAACTCCGAATACACTGGGGATAGAGAGCTGAAACTTAGCATACCTAACCTTTGATTTAAGGCGGATCTTTTGACACCAACCGCATTTTCGGGTCAGGGCAGGTCACTGACCTATGACGTCATAAGTGAACCTCTGCACGGTCTTCAGATGTCGCAACTTCGCAATGCCCTCACTGTCAGACTAGCTTTCACAGGGAAATGAAACTTGCAGGATCAAATATCTATTACGAGTCTCACAACTTGTATATCGGATTTTTCCTTAAGGTCATATGAGGTCAGGTCATTTTCGTGACCTCACCATTATAAGTCATTGGGTAAAATTGAAAAATGAAAACTGCTTTTCTGGCGCCGGGAACGATCTCCAACTATCTCAAGCACACAGAATCGTGATTTGATGCACTCTTTGCAAGGTTACATGCGTCAGTTTTGCAACGTTGAACTTACGCGACGTCATTTATGACGTCATTAGGGTCATATTAGTTTCTCAATAACTCCCGACCAAATTGAGCTAGCGAGTCGGGAAAGCCACCAATGGACTTGAGAAGACCTGCCGAATCAAATGATATGCGACATGACCTACTTCGACGAATTTCGTGACTTGGGGGCGCTGACCTGACCGTGACCTGAGGTTAACACCCTAAGTTGACCTCACCCAAACAATAAGTATATCATTCGAAGCGCCTGAGCGAAGCGAACACGATGCTGCCAAAATAGCGGCTCTGCGGCCGTTTTTGCGAAGATATTCACCAAAAACGGAAAAGTACCTTAGGGCACTTCACCTGACCTCAGAGTTCACCGGTTGACCGAGGACCTTAAAATCGGCTATCAATCTCTGCGTCTCGTAACGGCTCACACGCTCGTTTTTTCCGCAACGCGCTAGCTGCACCAGGGGCGAAACGGCGAGGGGGTCGTAACCGCCCCCCCCCCCCCTCGGCCGGCGCGTATGTAGAAAACCAATAGGTCCGGCGAGGGTTAAATTGGGCCTTGGGGTGCCGTTACAGTAATTTAATTACAATATGTCGTACCGCTTCTCATGAATAAGCAATATCTGCTTTTGGGGGCGACGCGTTGTGGCAGTCTGATGAAGGGCAATTACTTGGGGTCAACACTCCAGGCGTACGTGTTGCGGAACGTCAACGGGATATTTTGGGATAACGTCAACGGGATAATTCAGATACGCCCCTCCGGCCTCCAGAGTTCAGGCCCTTGGAAGATTCCCTGGGTCAACAACACTTGACCTTTTGCTAATCGAAAACATTCTGCTCGCACATACCCACTTCAAAAAGGCCCTACAAAGGGGCTGCCTGGTTGGCTTTGTTTGGGCGCATTGCAATCAGTGCCCACTGTTTCTGGTGATTATTTGTTCGCATCTACTGTCCCTTGAATCTGGTAACGCAAGGCGCGTGAAGCCTGAATGAAAAATGAAACTTGGGTATCATCCGCTCATGTAAAATGTAAATCCCTAGTGTGGTTCCACACTGCGGTCGACGACATATGTAGGTGGGCAAGGATGCCAAAGGTGTCAAGTCTGCCATGAAAGCTCGTATGGCTTGAAAACCATGGGCAGTGTTTGAATGAACTTGGGGTATGGACTAAGGAGAACCCAAATGGTGGTTTGTTTCATTCTTTGGCTCATGTAAAATGTAAATCCCTAGTGTGGTTCCACACTGCGGTCGACGACATATGTAGGTGGGCAAGGATGCCAAAGGTGTCAAGTCTGCCATGAAAGCTCGTATGGCTTGAAAACCATGGGCAGTGTTTGAATGAACTTGGGGTATGGACTAAGGAGAACCCAAATGGTGGTTTGTTTCATTCTTTGGCTGAAAGGCAAAACTCTGGCAGCGGTGGGATTCGAACCCACGCCTCCGAAGAGACTGGTGCCTTAAACCAGCGCCTTAGACCGCTCGGCCACGCTACCACTGATGAAGTGAGGGTCCACAATGTTATGTGAATCCAACGGGTGATGGCTTTGGCTTTGGCTTTGTGGACCCTAGTCCCATGTCTACAGAGTTGTTCTGTCGAGGGCCCTGGCTTCCTTGGCAACAATGTCGCCGCCCTCAACGCAGCATTGCGAAGGCAGCTACTGCTGGTGGACTTGCCGGCACCGGACTGCCAGTCGCCTAGACTGTTGTTATTGTTCCCCTCAGGGCCGGCCTGTAGCCCTATGAGAGCCTCCTTATGTCAGAGGTAGCCGGAGGCGACGGCCGCCACCAGCTCGCCGTCTTGCAGCTGCTCGGGTCGGACGTGAATGTTGCCCGGGAGTCGCAGGCTGGCGCCGGTCAGGCACAGACACTTTAGCAGCACGTGCTCCGGGATGTCGGCGCCCTCCCTGCAGACGAGGCAGCGGGCTGCGGGGCACTCCTTGCAGCTGCAATGCTGGCAGGTCCGGATGGGTCGTCGTCGGATTCAGTGCAGGTACTGCTCCGAAAGGTCCCAGTGCCCGGCCCGCAGCTGGTGCACATTGACGGTGTGCGAGTCCCCTAGGCTCGAAGGCCCCTCCAGATCTTGCTCCACATGGTCATGCCCAGCGGGAGCTCCGGGCAGCCGGTTCACCTCGGAGGGAAGCAATGATGAAGTTCTTGACATGCAGTAGTAGGTTCTCCAGCAGGTGGCCTGTTGGGGGTATGGACCACGTGATCTTCCTCGTCCGGCCACGCGATGAGGGCCATGTCGTCTTCGTCGTTGGGTGAGCTGTCGCTCCACTTCCGCGTGACATGGCTATCTCGCTGGTGGCAGGGGGAGCTGCAACAGGGCTAGCTGTCGGTCAGGTTAGGCATTGGATTCAAGTGGATTTCAGTTCAGTGCCTACCAACAACGGCTGGGTGAGGGCTGAAGAAATGCCTGACTGAGCTATTTGCGGTCAGGCTTTTCTTTAGCCTGACCGCAAATCGTTTTTTTTTTCATAATACATTTCAGATCAAGTCATTCCTCGTTATTCCGGACAAGTGGCACCCCTTTCATTTGCCTTTCGGCTCGGAATATGAATTTCACGGGAGAGCGATCAGCGAGCGCCCTCTGGGCTGTAGTGCTGCTTCAGCTCAGCACGGCACAACACAAGCGCCGGCCGGTAGGGGGCCGTCTCGTGGCCGCTAGGGGGCCGTACCAGCGAAGGCAGTACTCACTCAGCTAACTGTTATAGCCTATGGCACCACACTTAGTTTTGGAAGGTTTTAACAGCATGCAGGACAGAATCGGCTCGAGGGTTCAGACCTTGTAAATGTCGACGAAAAGGTCATCCTTGTGTACAAAATCCGGGCACATTCACATACAAGTTTCAAGTTTACACGATATGCATGACAAAATGGAAACTGGAATGGCCCAGATTCATGCCTAAGTCGCCTTCCTGCGACCATTCGTGTCGTGCTTTGGCATGAACAAAATAGCCATGGACGGCCTCCATAGAACTGAAGAGAAGAGCAAATCTTTGCGGCCGTGGTAATGCGTTGAAGAGAGATGGCTCTGCCCTTTGAAGCAATGTGGCGACGTGGCGTGGGCACTTCAGCTCAATTGTGCCCCAGTTTTCCCTTTCCCTCAGTCAAATTCTTTGCGCATTCACTAGCGGATCCGAGGGGGGTAGTGGCATTTGGGGCAAATGTCCCCGTCCCAGCGCCCGAAATCGTTGAAATGTGTCGTTTTTGTAGAATGGAAAGAAACCAAACAGCTTCTGTTCGGACGAGTTTGCTTTAAACTGCACAGCATTGCGAGTGGTACCTAAATCAGAGTTTTCACAAATTGGAGAACCTTTCTTTGGGGTATTCTCAGGCAGTGTCCGAGGCCGTCTTTCTGGATTCGCCTGTGAGCCTACTGAAATCAAGTATATCTATAAAAGTGCAATGACACCAACATACCTATCCACGTGGCGCCAAGTCCTCGCAAAAAAAAAAACGCTTTAAGGAAATTTTAGTGAAGTTGCAATCGCCAACTACAGCGGAACGCAATGACAAAGACGGTTTCTTTTTCATTCCTGTAAGGAATATATTTTTTTCATCAGATCAACATACCATAGCATCACAATGACAATCATCCGCAAGTTTCGCGAGTGCAATTATTATTCAACGCTACAAAGGTAAAAAGTCAAGCGTTCATTATCAACACAGCCAAGTTTCACTGACACATACATAATGACACATACACACACATACACAATGTATAATTGGACCACGGACGTCACAGTAGTTGTACCATCACAGAACAGCGCATCGCCAGTTTCAATGTCAGCATTAATCCAGCACGCGACCACATCTGACCAGAGAACATATTTGGTTACATTGAGCTACACTCTACACAGCTCGAGCAGGTATCACAGGAAGAAGTGGGATTATGGAGTGGGGAAAGATTGTTGAAGAAAGAAAGATTGGAAAGATTGTTGAAAGATTTGGAAGATTGTTATATTACAATCTATCGACTCTAGACATCTCCTTGTAGTCAAAAACTAGTTTACAATATTTGGTTTATATAATATATAGACGTGTAAAATATGTACATTCAATATGCTTAATGACATAGCTTTTCTGTTTTCATCGATAAAAAGCTATTATTCATTTTATATTTTAAATCAATCAGTAACAACACAATGAAAGAACTTGTGTAATATCAGAGTTCAGACTAGAAATAACAATGACTAGGATAACGGATCATGTTGACTAGGATCACAAAAGCACGATGACCTGTAAACGCAGGCGTTAGTACCACCTCAATAGAAGGCACGCCTGAATTGATGACTCCTAAATTCGTGACCAAATTATCTAGGACCATAGATACTTTAAGTGGTTGAGTAAATCCATTTAACAATGTGTCAAACTTTAAATGTATGGGAAGGTGTGGAAAATACGCCAAAAGGCTAAAATGACGCCCACTTCGGTTCAAACAAGCTTACAGTCAAAGATACTGGGGTACCATTGAGCATTACCCGGGAAGCGGCCCTGTGAGAGCTGTCGTACATACCACTCGGAGGCCCGCGTCGTCCACCAGGCAGACGCATCGGTCGATCCACGCTCTCTCCGGAAGGGGAAGGGTCGCGGGTCAGCCGGCCAGGCCAACCCGCTGAGCTGCCGAAGGCGGCGTCCGTCGGCGTGTCCAGCAGGCGCGCTGGCCAGTCCAAGCGTACATACAACATGCACCAACGGGCCAGCCATGTCCTACCCATACTTTACGAAAATCCCTCCGGAGATAAGGCACCGCACAGGACGGCATTTCGCCGGGCGCTGGCAAGACTACGCCAGGGCGACATATACAAAAGCTACCAGCATACTAAGCAGAGGAGCAGCTCTAACGCACTAGCTTTACGGAACCATGCGGTAGCAACCGATGTCCGTACCATCACTTACGGTTGTAAAGTTTCACACGTGCTACGCGAAATCTATCACTAACTCGCGCAAACAGAGGAATGACAAGCGGAATGCCGCGCCCCTCGATGACCTTTAGATCTCACAAATGTAAGTACGATACACATTTCGTACTCGTTGATATAGCTTCGACACGGGTGCTGATGTCGAATACATGATCAACAGAATCAACGCTAAATACAACGAAAAATCGGGTCCTACGCAGCGGTGGCTGCCGTCCTCCCACCTCCGGACCACCTGGGGACCTGAACAAAGCAAAAAAGAGAACGAGTCAACCGTAAATATATCACCGTATGCAACCTTCGGTGCATCTCGAAACGAGACAAATACGTCAAACTAGCATCGGAAATACTGATCTGGTATGGGAATAAATTGGTACGATCTCTAGCATAACACATCGCGCCCATAACAAGGTGTCGGATATGTCGCCCCCACGTGCCCATTGATGTGTCGCCATCATGTGCCCATTTATGAGTTACTTATGGTAAAATATTTATGTTAACTGCATTCTCCATGGCAATCTCTTTAAAGTTAAAATGGTTTGGTAACTTCGTTCCATAGCGTGACGGATGTTTCAAATCTACTGCTGCGTTTCTGCTTGTTGATATGGATCAATAAAAAGTTTGCATGATGCAGCCAGCCTATTTCAGTACTTAACTCACCGCGGTCGCGAGCATCTTAGTGGCGAATTATTGTGATGACCATCTGGATGGGATGGCGACAGTGCGGGCACGGCTGTCGGCGGCGGCGGCGGCGCTCGGCGCAGCTGCCGCAGGCGGCGCGGCACGCCTCCTGCCTCCCACGCCTGCCTCTGTGCAGGAAGGCGTGGTCGGCCGGCCTCTGACGGCAGATCAGGCAGAGGTCGCCGCTGGCCCGGCGAGCACGGTGAGGCGGCTCCATCGGGGCGCCTCTCGCCGCCCCATCTTCAGCCATCGGCTGCCCCAGAAGACGACCCTGCAAACAAACAAGCGTTCATGTTCCCTGATGGATCTGAAAGTGCACCGGGGGGCGGGGGGCAGTCCATCGCTTAGTTGATGAGTGGATGTTCGAACGATATCGGCATCATTTTGAAAGAGCAGCTGGTCACCAATCAGGCACTTGCCGAATTAGAATATGGCCGTTAGCGTTCTAGCATTCTTGGCTTTATTTGCCAAAGACGAAACATCAAGATCAACCCCTATTTTAGTGTTATTTCCATCATAAGCATCTATTTTTATTGTAGGTATGCGTTTTTGACTTGGCACAGAGTCCAATTACGTACAACAAATGTAAAGACTCGAAAGCTCCCGTATCCCACTTTAACATTAGTTTTGAGCCAAAATGTGGTTCCTGGCTTGCAATTACCGGTTTGAGCACTCACAAGATCGAGAAATGCCTCAAATCGAAAATATCTAATTTCAAAGTTGCAGCACTTGGATTCAGAGGGGCTAATCCATTAGAATGCCCCTTCTGAAGGTGTGACGTCAGCGCAGATCTAACGATTTTAAATCTTTTACTAAAACGTTCGGTAGCACGCGGTGGTGTATGCTGCTTTGCGCGCAACAAGTGCCGCACTTTCAAATAAAGTCGCTAGGAACAGCGGAGATCCCAAAAAGTAAACAAAAGTAAAAGTCTAATATCTTGAAAACCGGTGAATATTGTTAGATGAAATTTGGTAGATATTCGGTTTCGCTCTTTCTGAACAGAGCGACATCACTTTCATGCCAATTCATTAACCTTTTTGAAGGTGGGAGGGTCCCTGTAAGTCTCACCGCGTTGCAGAGCTGGCACAGCGGGACGCTGCCCGGATTGAGATGGCCGCAGCCCGGACGTCTGCAGAACCAGGCCCGCCGCTGAGGTTCCGTGTCGGATGATTCAGAGTCGGCCTGGTCACCAGAGTCCTCGGGTACGGCAGTGATGGGCTCGTGACGCGGGACCCAGTCCGGCTCATCCGACTGAAGGGGCGACGTGTAGTGACTCAATTATACCTCGACGAAATGGCGACAGCAGCGTGCGGTACTTTCTCATGTACAAATGCTCCCCAAAAGCCAGGCGATATGCATGCAGGATTGTATTCGCCCAGTGACTTCCAACTTGCAGGGATTATTACTTTGAACATCTTTATATTGGTCACCCATGATTCCCTATTACTCCACGTCATAAACTAGGTATAGCTTGGTTACATGCACGCGAAATTGTGAATTATATACAGTATCAGTACAATCACGTTCGAATATAATTAAAATAGTGCCTTCACGTAGAAAAATGATCCGAATCCCGGCACCACAAACAAACCAAGCACCATAAGTTCTGACATTCCTACCGCGGTGGTGTAGGACTGTTCCTCGCTGAGATCGGCAAGATTATACTCGAGGTATGAAGTAGGGTCGGACGGCCTGCTGGTCGCAAGGCTCTGGTTTGGTCCATCGGATGGCTCTTGATGAGATCGATCTGTCAATAAAACACCTAAAACTTTAATAACCTTTTTGACAATTTTTTCGCAATTTTTATGTGCAGTAAATTTTCAATGTTAGGATGATAGAAAACAAGTTATAATTCCTTAGTTTCTTCAGCCTGAATCATGTTAATGTAGTCTTATGTTATGTAAAAACATGAGAGTAGTGGTTACCTGTTTTATCAGACGCATGCGTGGCGTCGCTTCCCGTAGGGTTGTCGCCTGACCGGAGCACACTTGGAGGCTCAGATGCAGCTTTACGCGCAGGACGCTGCAGGTTAGGACGGGAAATGGGTAGAGGATCAGACATAGATAACATGTCTGTTGCAGAGGGAGAATAGCTCCTCCGAGTGCCGTTACGGTTCGCAGGCAGCCGATGTTCATCGTCGTCCACCTCTGTCAACCTGAAAGTTCCCCTTGTGTCATTGCCCATTGCAACGTAATGTCACTAACAATAAAATAAGACCTTAAGGTCAAAAGTGAGTTAAAGTTTAAACAATCTTCCGAGGCGGTGTTTCAAGGCAGCTGCTAGCACGCTGCTACCACGCTGCCGGCGCGTTTCGCGGGCTGACGTCATAGTTTGTGGTCAAGTCATCAATGTTGGGACGTCCGAGTTTGTTGATGTCTATGGAAACCGAATTAGCCACGTATGCTGGTAGCGTGCTAGCAGCGGCCGTGAAACACCGCCCGAATACCAACATGATGTGATTACCTGGGAAGAACGGGTTCTCGGTTGCGACGACGAGCGACGGCGTCATCCCGTCCACCAGGCCGAGGTCGGATGTTCCCGCCGCCATCCATTCTTTGAAGTTGAAGTTGAGTATTGTGTTGAGTGTTGGGTCACTCAGTGGTATTGTAGCCAATTAAGTCCAGCTGATGCCCAAGTTTCACTGTAAAATGGTGAAAGGGAAGTGCAGGTGGGTGGCCTGCACGAAACCAACTGTCAGACGGTGTGACAGGGAAAAAATGAAAAATCACTGGCATTGGTATACTAGGCCACTACATGACGGTACTTGACCCCAGATGAAAACATCACTGATTCATCACAGATGATGCCTAAACATTAAGTGTTGGCCTCACAAATGGACATCCCACAATGATGAGAACCACTATGAGGATCTGAGAACTCTTCACAGCTGCAGAATAGGAACAGGATTTCACTGCCACCGGACCTTTTGGTTTTCTACATTCTACATTGGCTGAGGGGGACCTCCGCAACGTTCTCAGGATAGGGGAGTCAGACACGAACATGCACATTCTTACACATTAGGCTGCACTATGGAAGTAAAATTATTGGGGGAGGGGTCTGGACTTCCATGACCCCTCGGTGGCACAGCCTCTGAGTAGACCCCCCCCCCCCTTCGCCCCAATTGAACTAGACACGCAAAAAAAACGAGGGGTGTATCATTACAAGATGCAGTGATTTGACCTCGATTTGTAGGTACCTATCAGGTAAATTGGTGACCTTCGTGGTCAGGTTAACCCGCGCCGGGACGGGGGATGTTTGAACACCCCCTGCGGTTTTTCGCAGATATCTAAAAAACGGCGGCGCTTTTTGGCACACCTGTTCGTGCATCTTTTCCGCACATGTGAAAACTTCAGACCCAGGTCGCTCAAGGTTAGGTCACCAGTCACCTCACCTCAGAAAAAAAAAATATAGAATGCTCGTCATAGCTACACCGAGTGAATGATTGCCTTGAAACTATCAGCGATTGATAAGAGTAACAGTATCTATAAAATGTATATCTCGGAATTTTGATATCGGTGACATAAGGTCAGGTCGATTTTGCGGCCTCTCCATTACCTATAAGTCAATGGGAGAAAATTGAAAAGCGTCTCTTTTGCACGAACGCCGTTCTGGACAATCTCAAGCATCGGGATGCAAGTAAAATTGACACCCTGAACCGGAAAATGGCACCTGTGCCCCCTCGTTATGTCCCCGAGGTCATCTCAGGTCACGAATAGCATTTAACAGTTTTTCGCTAATAACTTCTGATAGAGGCATGCTAGAGCAATGAAAATGCCTTTGATGTGTTTGGCTCGACGATGCAGATCGACTGATATGCAACATGACCTTTTCCGGCCGGGTCATGACCTTGACCTGAGGTCAAATTTTCAAGTTGACCTTTCAAGGTCAAATTATAGTTCATTCGAAGCGTCTCGACGAAAAGAACACGATGCCGGGAAAAATAATGTCGTGGCTCTTTTGAGTCAAAAGTTATTGCCGAAAAAGCACTTCTCGTAAAAACGGCTACCTATTTTACGAGTTTTTGTCCTCTGGGGGATAAACCGTTAATCTGAGGTCAAATCTGAGGACATAATAGCGAAAGAGCGCTAAAAGGGCTATCGAATGCGCTTTTCCGCGGCGCTGTAGCTCTATCGGTTCCCGAGTTAGCCGTTGGCAGTTTCCAAAATGTTGAAATAGCCAATCTTTTACCTTTGGTGACCTCTGGTGACCTGATCTTTGACCTGACACAAAAAAATGACAAGTGTTTTCGTCCTTATTTTGGACGTTCTTTCGATTGCCGCTTACCGCGTGTCGCTACGTGGCCCAGGAGCCTAGTTAGAAGGGGGTGTTCAGAAATCCCCCCAGGCCCGGCGCGGAAGTCTCGGAGCACCGGCCCGGCGCGGGTAAGTGCTCCAATGTAGTAGTTCGATTTAGAGTAAACAACATTGTCAAATATGGTTACAGGGCCGCGATTATGACTGCCGTGTTCGCCATGGGCAGGCGCGTTGAATAATAATCATGTTTGGTTAAAGTTACCTTAGGGTGTTACTGTTGGCCTCAGGTCAACCCCAAGGTCGGGTCAAAGCCACTCAGGTCACGAAGTTGGTTGAAAGGGTCATGCACACATGATTCATGTCAATCAATTAGGAATGCACTTCTGGGCCCATTGTTATCTTTTCACGATCATCATTAGTCATTTTTGGGCTCTCGGACTTTAGATGTCATCGGCGCCCTTATTCTTTGGTTTGGTGACGCCATGAATGATGTCACACAAGGTGATCAATGCAAAAGTTTGCCATTTCAGATTGCAACGAGTGTACACTGCACAGGGATATTTCATGTGTTTGAGTTGAGATTGTCTTTATTGTGTCAAACACCAAAATAACAGTTTCTATGAAATCCTATTACCATTTACCTGTGTGAAATGGTGAGATCACATGACTGATTTGATCTCAGGTGACTTTTATGACAAACATGACATATCACATATGCAAGCTGTAAGTTTCATCTTCCTGTGAAAGATTACCTTACACTGAATGCATTGCAAGGTTGAATTATGCAGGACTTTGCAGAGGTTCACTTGCAACATTGTAGGTAATAGGTTGGGTCAGTAACCTGACTCATGAGTCATAACACATGAGCATGACTATGGTTTGGGTCACAAAATCTGGCTTTGAAAAGCACAATGTTCACTACCTTACCTTTCAGAATGTTTCCTCACACTCACCAGAGCAAAAAAAAAACTAGTCATAGCTGATTTGATGCATGTCAATTGCCTGCTCCCATATGCAAAATGGGTAGGTACCTAAAGATTTGATTAAATTGTATCCATACAGACCCCATAGCAAGGCGAATGTAGGAAGCTGTGACCTGTTCGATTTTTATTTGAAAGGAAATATAAATTTTTGCTTTTGGGTACCTAACAAACAGCTAAAGCATTTGGACTTTGGAGCCCACTGTCCACTAATTTTGTTAATCATCAAAACAATGTGTTGAAGGGTAAATGTGTGGTGCAAAAATGTATTATAAAAACAATAAATTGATGGTACCTTTTGTTGCCATCTATCAGGTGCAAACCCCCCCCCCCCCCCTCCCCCATATACACGCCTCCACTCCAAGTTATTTGACAGGCACATGTCCCTCAACTTCCCTGGTTTGGCAGAATTATGGCTGTACAGTGTCCATTGCACTTTAGGGCGATAAAAACAGAACTTTTCTGTTTAACTGTAAACACCACATTGGAAAAATATTTGATTAAATTACATCCAAACATAAATTTTTATGGAATTATTGAATTATTTCTAAAATTTTCAAGACCTATATGATATATGAGTTGACAAAAATGCAAATAACCCAGAAAAGCTATGAAAAACAAGCAATTGAAAGAAAAAATGTTGTGCAACTGGGGTAATAATATCATACAGACCTTAAAGAATCAAGAATGTTGCAGCAATAAATAAATGTCAGGGTTATAAATTCACAAATTTCTAGGTACACCATTCAAGCATGGTAGCTGTAGTGAGGTCATAGTAGGTATTGAAAATTTACTTCCAAATCCAGAAAAGCACGCTATTTTACACCTTTTCCCTAAATATTGAAAAAAGATACAAATCCTATCATTTACTTATTTGATGACATTCCAAATTAATTGAAGTGATAATCAACCATAATGATCAGATGTTACAGCTTTGGGGGCACTGGCAGATCAAGGGGCATCAATGGCCTTGACTTGCCATTGTGTTGGGGGGGGGGGCATTAGAATCCCCTGCAGCCTCCAAATTACAAATAGAAAGAAACCTTGGTAATTTTGCCAGTGAAAAGTTTTCTTTGAACTGCCCAGCAGTGCAAAATGATTTGAGACCACATATGTTTTCGGAATTTTGAGAATTCATTCATTATCATGCAAGTTGCAACACATCATCACTCGCCTATAACAAATTCATTTGGAGTACGAACACCCATCCAGCGGTGTCTAATATCACCTTTTTAGATCTGCCTGCTTGAGGGAAAACATGCAATGGATAAGCTGAACACCTATTCACATATCAAGACCCAATGATAGGCAGTGCAATACCAGCATTGCAGTTTCTAAATTGCCCATAAACAGCAAATAAAGACATAAGAAATTGCAAATTATTGGTCAAATTTGTTAATCCTATTAAATTTGGAAAACAAAAGATTTTTAGCATTAAATGGCAATGGCTTTAAATTTCCTTGAGCTATTTTTCTGAACACAAGTCGCAACAAAAACTGAAGAACATGGCCATTGTCTGATAGTGATAGGCCAATTGGTTAGGATTGGGTAAAGATCAAACAGCAAAAGCACACTGTAAATTATTTGGATTTGGACATATGTATTGATAAACTTACATACAGAAAACCTAGGTATAACCCTATAACCATCAACGCGCAACGCCATCTCGACCACGCCATACCCGCCGCAAATCATGCCGCTTCAGCTTTGAGACCCAGACTATTTTCTCAGGAATCCCAGATTACGCGATTCCGTTACTTTCCCATTAAATAAAAAATTGCACACAAAGCAACCAATGAAAATGCTCTATGTAATAAAATAAGTTATTTCACTTACTTTTCACCCAATGGCGGCATTCACGCCCATTGGGGGCGGCGAAATATGGCGTGTGCGAGGCGTCAGCGCGAGGCGGGCGGGAACCCTCGCCGCCCACGCACTCAATGACCAATCCAATGCCCCGAGAATCGCATGGCCAGCATCAGGCCTGCTCATTGGCATATCCAAAGGTGCTCGTCTCCAATTGGAACGCCTGTGACAAATCTCAGCGGATGTCACAGAATTAGTGGTGAAGACTGATGTTTTTGTGACAATAATGAATGAAAAACAATACATGAAAATGGCATGTTGAATGGATCGATTGCTTATAAAATGTATAAATACAAGAATGATTAAATAGTTTTAAGGCTCACTCTAATGGACCATCACTGATCAGTGGCGGCAGAAGAGCAGATCTCTTTTTGGGGACAGATGCACCCACAGTCCTGAAATATGTCCCCCACAATGATCTGACCGCCTCGCGTCCCTGGATAATATAGCGTTTTTAATCACTCGGCGCCCTGGGAGAATGGCGCCCTTTTGACAGCACTGCGCCCTTCTCATGGTCTAACGGCGCCCTCCTGACCATCTCGCGCCCTTTGTCTGTCCACCATCAGTGGCGGCGGAAGGTATTCTAGGATAGGGGTGCAAACGATATTGAAGCGCCCCTTCCCGCTGGGCGCCCCTTACCATATACACGGTTGTAGTAACACAAACAGTGAAGAGACGTTTGACAATGTGTTGTACCTGTTAACACGTTCAGAATTTACAGTTTTTATGTAACGAGAAATAGTTAGGTACATTCCATAGCGTAAATGTAACCTTCATAATGTTCGTTTAGAAACAACCTCATTACCATATCATAAGATTCTCCGAATAAGGCATATCGAAAAGAGTTCCACGGTTCCAATACCTTCGTGTGGACTAGTGAATAAGGCGCCGAATCCATAACACTAGCTCGGTGACAGAGAATTGTTAAAAAAAAAAACACACACTCATTTAAATTGCGTTTAAGTTGCATCCGTCCTCCCGGCAAGTTGGTTAGAGCTGCGAAATTTCCATCGTTAGAACCCGGTTTCTAATCGCTCCGACGCGACGCAATGATACCCGAGACTATGCCGAGACTAAGCCTCCCCCTATGGATCCCCCCTAAGAGACTTCTAGTTACTGCTAACGTGAAGTGAATAGGCTGAGGTTTATGGTGGGAGTAGCAGGTTTGTGACGCCCCAGTGAAATAAATGCCGCCTTTCAACACCGATAGGAGCCCGAAATGAATGAATACAGGCAATCAACGCTGGTAGGTGTCCCAGCGAAATGAATGCATCTACTACCATCCAGAGGTGCCCCCATTTCAAAGTAATACGACGGCGACGCCTCCACACCGATAGGGGCCCATCCCAGGGGAACGGAATAAATGCCGCCCCCTCATTGCCGGGCGCCCCAGGAGAATGAATGTTACACATCAACACCAATATGCCTCCCAGTGAAATGAATTATGAATGTCGCCTTTCGACGCCGGTAGGCGCCCCAGACACCAGTGGATTTACTGCCGCCTTAAAACACCGATAGGCACCTCAGTGAAGCGAATGCCGGCCTATACCACCGATAAGCGCCCCGGATGAATAAATACCACCCGTCAACGCCGATATGCGCCTCAGTGAAATTAATGCCGCCCCAATCTCCGATAGGCGCCCCAGGTGATACATGTCGCCCATCAACACCAACGGGCGCCCCATTGAAATGAATCCAGCCCTTCAACACTGGCAGACGCCCCAGTGGAATGAATGCCGCCCCACAATGCCGATGGCCGTCCCTGCACTGGAAAATTAGTTTCGCCCCTATACAGGCGCCCATAGAAGTTTGCAGAGTGCTATTCCTGGTCATAATCATCTCCCCAGTAAAAAAAACGCAAAATACGCCCTAGCACTAGGGGTGTAACCGCCCATACGGACAGTGCAATTTTACAGGCCCCAATCTCGGACCTCCCTTAACATTCATATGTTGTAAACGGCAAACCGCCCCCGATAAATGTTACACAAACTAATTTCCTCTCGCATATCGGCCATCAGGCGCCCCTTTTTGTCGCATGGAGCCTGCAACGCTATAAGCCCTCATATGTTCGTGTTGGCGTTCGGAGGCTATCGCCTTCAAAGACGTCTCCATAAATGTTTCTTTTTCGTCCCACACACAGGCGCCCCTCTTTCGCATGCAGGCGCCCCTCTTCCGCATGGCGCGCTTCTCGAGTGGCTTCGCCCTCCTAGCCTTTATCGCCTGGCAAGATTATATTCGACAGGGTCGGCAGCATCTGCCTTTGTTTCAGATGATGCCCTCCACTCTTTAGCATATCAAAAGATACTTTTCCCACGTCATTGCCACCATCTTCGTGTCACAAGTGCCTTTATCAGTTGCGGTGTCGCACTGCTCAGCTTTATGGCTGCCGCACCTCTTAACTTCCTGCCTCCTCTACAGATTTTCGAGGCGCCCCTTTCCATAGCTTTAGGGTGCAGCTGCCCCCCTTGCCCCCCTGCTTCCGCCGCCACTGTCCACCATGCATCCCTCGACTGTTCGGCGCCCCTCGACTGTTCGGCGCCCTTCTGGCCTCTCAGCGCCCCTGGACCACATAGAGTTCTCAATCACTTAGCGCCTTTCTATGAGAATGGCGCGCCTTTTCATGGTCTCACGGCACCCTCGTAACCGTCTGGCGCCCCTATGTCCCCGCCAACTTAGCACTACTGACTGTTCGACGCCTTTCTGGCCTCTCAGCGCCCCTGGACCACATGTGGTTTTCAATCACTCGGCGCCCTTCTAGGAGAATAGTGCCCTTTTCATGGTCTCACGGCGCCCTCGTAACCGTCTGGGGCCCCTGCGTCCCCACCAACTTAGCATTACTGACTGTGCGGCGCCCTTCTGACATCTCTGCGCCCCTGGATCATATAGCATTTTAATCTATTGGCGCCCTTCTGGGAGAATGACGCCCTTGTCATGGTCTCTCGGCGCCCTTGTAACCTTCTGGCGCCCCTACGTCCCCTAAGCGGCCTGGCACCCCTACAGCTGGGCACCCACAATCATTTTGGGAAAATTACACCCCTGAGATGGCCAAAGATGAAAGGTTCTCCTTCACCCATGCTATTGCCTTGAATACAGCATTCCAAACAGGGAGTGCACAAGGGGGCGCAAAGCTGTCTTCTTCGTGCACCCCGAAAATCCCCTTTACCTCTTTTAAGAGACCCGTCCGTGTCCGACCCGATTCCAGGCCCGATTAACCGTGACTTGTGACCGGGCTGCTAGGCTAGAAGTCCATAGCTCTTAGCTAGGTCCAGCACGACTCTGGGCCTACAGTCTACACCGGCCTCCAAACGCCCCACGACGGCTCTTGGGACTTTCAACGGCTTTCGGGTTTCACACGCCAGCCCTGCAGGTGACCTGTGACCCTGACCCCGCGACAGCCTCTCTGCAAGGCCGCAGACCCCAGGGCCCAGGCCCCTGTCTTGGCCTTGGGGACCCACACAGGTTTCTGGGAACCGTTCCGGCTCTCAGCCAGGAACCCTACGCCGGCTCCTCGAGAGGGAGGCCCATGTCGATTCCACTGGGCCTTGTGGTGGCTCCTGGGAGCTCTGTGCTGGCTCCTGGGGCTCATGCTGGTCTCTGAGAGTGAGAACTTCAACTGATCAGGCCCGACCGGATTTTGAAGGTCCCACTCTGGCACTGGCATCTGATGGCCCTGCGCTGCCCTCTGATGTCCCTACGCCGGCTCTTTTGCGGGATGTTGGATGTCATTGTCGATGTTTGTTACTGACTAGTGTCCATCTCGGCTCCTGGGGCTCATGCCGGCATAGGCGCGGGAGCCGGGGGGCAGCTTGCCCCCTCCCCCCAACTCTGGGGGTGGTGCCCCACAATTTTGAGACGAAATACCGCACTTTTTTGCAAATGTTTTCTTTTTGCTGAAAAAGCCAAGTGATGAAAAATAAGTGGCCTAAAACCGGTGAGAAAACTAGATTTGGGGGCACCCTAGGTTGATCTCTATTATGTTGTGCCCCCCCCCCCAGTTTGAAAGTAGTTCCCGCGCCCCTGCATGCCGGCGAGTCACAAAACCGACACCGGCTCCTTGGCCGGCCTCTGACGGCCCGTTTCTGACATTCGACTTCAGTCTCCAGGGCCCAGTCTTACAAATGCCGTAGAATAGATTTGGCAGCGCTGGCTGAAGCTCAGACTATCAAGTGCATAGCGTCTTTTTTACGCATTTAGTGTACGTACCTATACCTAACCTATCGTATATTGATGGTCCTAGACTCCCAGGAATCATCACTTTGGCCCGGAACGGTACATATTTGCTAGCGCTTACGAGCAAGTGTAACAAAATCTGAACAAAATAGGTAGTGCATTTACTACCATTGACCCAAGGGAGTACACCACACAAGATTCTGATGTCCTCATAAGCCCTGGAAGTTACATATCGCTCTTGAGGGTTGGGGCCCACGTAGTCCTGAGAGCCCGTTCAGTGGTTTTTGCGGCCCCTACGCTGGACTCGACAGCTTCGACTTGGTCACTTGACCCCGGTGGCAAGATCCCGGTAAGGCAGTAGTTCGTGCGACGTGAACTCGTTTTCATTGTTCTGAATTAGAGATAAGTAGGTTTGTCGTACTGAGAAATTATATTTTTACCTAGATCAATTTGCATCATTATTAGAAACAGTTTATGGACAGGGACTTCGGTAGCTTTCAGACTTGACGTTGACGGGGACCGCGCGTTCGGAGCCGCCGGCGAGCTCTGCTGCTGGGAGGCAAGCTACACGGTCGGGCGCAGCAGGGCGTCCAGCGGCGTCCAGCTGGTGGGCGCCTCGCTGCACAGCCCCGGCACCCAGCAGACGAGGCTGTACAACAGGCTGACCATCCACAGCTGGGCCGACTCCAGCCACGACGGCTCGGCCACGGCCACCGCCGGCAGCAGCAGGCGCTCCCAGGAGCGCAGCAGGCGCGCCAGCAGCTCGGCGGGCCGGTGACCGGCGGCCTCGGCCGCCCAGTAGCCGCCGGCGGCCACCAGGCCGGCCGCCAGCAGCAGCGACAGCCGGCCGCCGCTGATGAAGCTCCAGCGGCTGGGGAACAGGTCGGCGGACTGGGCGGGCCGGTCGGCGCCGGCGCCGGCGCGCGCCAGCAGCAGCGCCACGTCCTCGTCGCCGCGGCCGGTGACGGTGCGCAGGTCGAGCGGCCGGCCGTCCTCGCGCTGCACCAGTGAGGTCAGCGACTTGGTCAGCGCCCTGCCGATCGGACCGGGCGCACCCACAGTCAAGCTGGGTGACAGACTTAACAATGGATTAAAACGTCACAGCTGTGTTGTTTATGCACAGCAATTGTTAAAAGATAATGGCCCTCAGGTGAACATCAAACTTCTGCCTCAAACTTACCTTTCTTTTGATAGCTGATGTTTTAGATCATCAAGTATTTGGAATATTGCCATCATTGAGTTCATGATTTTGCTCATTTTGTCGGCCCAAGCGAGTTGGTCGCGGGCACTTTCGGCGTTGCAGGCCACCTGAATGCAGGACGTCAGCGTCTTATGCATCACTTTGGATTTCCAGAAGAGGTCGCCGGCGGCGGCATCTTTCCTTTTGCTGTCATTCAGCGATTGGTAGGCCTGCAAGAAAATAAGAGACATCACATTGGCGTCGTTTTACAATGCGCTCTGAAGGAAACGCTGTCCATCAGTGTATCATGGGGAGTGGGTAAAATCATAAAAAGATGCACCTGCACTTGTCACAAAGCTCGTCTATATTTGCAGCTGTGAAATATTTACGACAAATTGGTCATTTGGTTCGTTATCCTTGTTCGTGTCGGTGTTTGGTGAAAAACGTTCATGCAACATAAAAGTAACATCCTAGGCAAACTCTACCGGAGGCAAGCAAATACAATTCTTACATCGAATGCCTCTTTCGACTGCTTCAGCAGCTCATCAGCAGCTTTTAACGCGTCGTCTAGAGCTGCCTGCGATTCTTCAGATTCTTGCAGCAATTTCTTTCGGCGCCAGGGCGAGACACAGTTCATCAGCTCTTTATACATTATTTCTGTCTCTATGCCTTTTGATTCCAATTCATCTTTTCGCACTATTAAATTGCCAAGGGCTTCTTTCGTTTTTTCGTGGAGGTCGTCATTTGACTTGTCGCCAGATAAACGCTCTCTGGGTGACCTGGTATCAAGAACAGACGACCTAGATTGACTTTTGGTCGACCTTGCATCACCTCTGAAAGATTTCTGAGAGCGTGGTCGGTCACCACTCATCGATCGTCTATCGGCGCCCTGAAGAAGATGGTCGGTGGATCGAACTCCTGCACTGCGTATTTGCCGTTTCAAGCTCATTGTTCCCGATGGTGTGGAAGGCTGATCACCGCACCTTTAATTTACCGTCTTAAAATATTTATGCACGTAAGTTATTCGTAACGTTTAAGTCCATATATTTGAAAGAAATTCGTCTACGTTTACCAAACTGGAAAAATTCCCCGATATCCCTCAATGGATTTTGTTTAAAACAGAGGCTAGCAAATTTTCAGTCGTCAAAAGAACACGTGAAGACGCTTGCATTGCAGCTTCCGGTATTGAATTTAAATAAAATGGAATAGTAGCTTTTTGTTTATAGCTAAATGAAGCCAAAAACAAATCCATTTACATCCACAACAAATCCAAAAACAACATGCTCTAAAGAACGTTTCACACCATTCAAACTTTACAACCGCATTGTGTTTATTATAATTAGGTACAGTTTCCTGTAGCTAGGTATGTGCGAGGTATGTAACTATGTACCCATGTCCTATAGCTCGTATATATTCCGGTATATGAGAATATTGGAATTATAAAAGAAAAAATGAATAAGTAACTAACATATCGATTGATTACGGAGCGAGAGAAGCGAGCGGAGTCTTACGTAGAATAACGGAAATTTCTGAGTATGAGCGGCCGGCCGGCCGGCCGGCCGTGCGGACGCTTTTGCGAGGCTTATATCTCAGCAACCACTTGACCGATTTACACGCAGTAATTTTTGTAGGGTAGCTTCATTCCTTCTACCAAGTATTGGACTATTCCCGATGCATGTGGGTGACCCCTTATGCACGTGCCACGTGCAAAACGAAGAGGTGTCAGTTTTGTAATTGTTGCAATATCTCGGTAACTACTGGGCCGATTGCGCTGAAAGTTAGCATGTAGGTAGGCACCCACTACGCACTGCATATCCATGTGCCAGAGTTGGGGTGGTGCTGCACGTGCGCACGTGCAGGGGTCGTTTCCAGATCTCAAGAACGGCACGACCGATTTCGCTCAAATTTGGTGTATAGTTAGGGAGCGGTTAGTAGGGTGCCGTGCAAAAGTCGGTTGGGACCCATTTCGCACGTGCGTACGTGCAGGGTGCCGCTTCCAGATCTCGAGAACAGCTAGGCCGATTGCGCTCAAATTTGGCACATCGCTAGAGACCGGTTAGTAGGGTGCCGTGCACAAGTCAGTTGAAGGTACCCCCTCGAAATTTCGCACGTGCAAGACCCACCCTCTCGCTCGCTCCGTTAGTCGCCCCAAAAGGCGTAAAGCTCAGGCTACACTATCAGCGTTTTTCGGTTTCTGCGTGATTTCGGTTTCCGCGTTTTTACGGTTTCTGCGTTTTTTCGTTCCGAGCGGCCGCCGCGTGGACGGTATTGTTTATAGCATAGTGATGGATAAGTGATCAAATTAATTGTTTGTTCATGTTAAATTTTATCGTGTTTTAACAAAATTATAATTGAATAATTGTTTTAAAGATTTTACAACTAACAATAACATTATTTCGATCATAATCATTTGTCAGCTTAATTATAATTATCATATTTGAAGTAGAATGACGAGTTTTGAAACACATCTTGTCTTCTTTAATCATGAATTATACTATTTTCATTATTCACATTTGAAACTGTTCCATCGTCACAATATTATTAGCAACAAGTCACTTCTAATCATTCATCACTAAAACGAAATCCCGCAGAAACCGAAAAAAAGTTCACAACTCTGAACTTTTTTTCGGTTCCGACTCGTCGGTTTTTGCGGGTTTTCGTTCCACGGGACGCCAGACTGGCAGTGTAACTTGCGCAATGCATTCGCTATGAGGCGAACTTGACGACGCGAACCGAAATCCCGCAGAAACCGAAAAAACGTCGGAATTCATGCTAGTGTAGCTTAGGCTTTATACTGGTTGGTAAGACTAAACGTTTACATAGGTACGTTCATTTAAAGTTACCGGCATTCTCGGATTATCTCTTCTTGGGGGAACAGGAATTGGTCTGTATGGGTTAAAAGTAACCGTTTATTTTAAGCATAGGTTAGGTACGTCATCATACATATATCGCACCCCTCTGATGCACCTTGAAAACGTTCAATAAAACCTTGACGCGTTACATCACTGGCTTCAGCTAAATTCAGACTATTTAGTTTAGTTTTCTATGAAATAAACGCATGCAAGCAGCAATTTTATACTGATAGAGACAAGCTATATCTTGTTTTATCTGTGATTATATCCAGCGGTGTAACTTTCTATATGTATGGGGGTGCAGGTGCACCCCCATCCCCTGAAAGTGCACCCCCATCACGTCAAAGTGCACCCCCATAGGCTAAGCGGCGCACCACACGCCGCCCGACACCGATAAGCTCTTGAGCAAATGGCGAGGGTGATTTCCCGGCTACATTCCGTCTCGTGACCGGCGTCGTGATGCTTGCGGGCTTGGGAAGCGTCCAGTCGTATCGTCCCCCAAAAATGGGTGAAAGGGGCACCCCGGCAAAAGCGGGACTTTCTCAGCAAAAGTGGAGCGCCCGAGGCAGAAGTAGGGCACCTCCAACGTAGGTTGGGATCGTCAAGCATAAGACTGGCGCCCCAGCGGAGGAGAGGCGCCCCCAGTAGGAATGAGGCACCTCAAGCATGGATTCGCCCAGTAGAAGAGCTTCCTCAGTAGAACACGGGCGACTCCAGCAGAAAGGGGCGCCTCACCAGAAGAGGGGTGCCCTAGCAGAAGAAGGACACCCCAGCAGAAAGGGGGCGCCCCACCAGAAGAGGGATGCTTCCAGAAGAAGAGAGGCACTCCAATACAAATGGGGCACCTCAAGCAAAAGTTGGGCTCGTCCAGCAGTAGTGGGGCGCCCCCAGAAGAAGAGGAGCGCTCCCAGCAGAAAGGGGCGCCACACCAGAAAGGGGCGCCCTACCGGGAGAGGGATGCCTAAAAAAGAGAGGCGCCCTAATACAAAAGGGGCACCTGGAGCAAAAGTTGGGCTCGTCCAGCAGCAGTGGGGCCGGGGGCGCCCCCAGCAGAGGTGGTGGGACGCCTTTAGCAAAAATAGGGCATACCCGGCAAGGGAAATGTCAGACTCCAGCAGAAAAGTGAAACCCCAGCAGAGGAGGAGCGCCAATCAGAAGTAAGTCTCGCCGAGCAGAATGAGGGGTGACCTCAGCAGGAGAGAGGGAGAGGCGACCCCAGCAGTAGAAGGGCGCCCAATGAAAAGGGTGATTCCAGCAAAAGTGGGTCTCGCCAGTCGACGAGCATAAAAAGGGCACCCCAATTCTATAAGAGGTTGGAATAAAAAAGTAAAATGCCATTCGTTATAAATTAAATTGATTGATTGATATTCGTGCAAACGAATTCAATTTTATTTCATAATACCCAACTTTGTACCATTGGACTCATCTGCATCCATAGGCGTCGCCAGAGATTTTCGGTTGGGGGGGGGGGGCAAAATCCAATTTGGTCTTTAATCATGCCTTTCTATAGTCATTACTTACACGTTTTATATGTCACTCGACGCGCCATGGCGCGCGAGGAATGCAATGGTGATGCAGTTTTTCCTCTAGCTATGAAATGTAGAAAGTATTTTTTTAGGATTTCCTGGGCAAAATCAGTTACGTCAGTTAAAAACGCATTACCCGTTACGTTAGTTTAGCAGGGTAGAGCCTATTAATGGGAAGGATACAATGGGTCTGTAGGGCCCCTCCCCCTCCCTCCCTCGGACGGGTCCGTGCAGATGATCCCAAACCTTATCCAGAAAAAAGAGTTGCAAATGATCCAGGGAATCGGTTCGCCCTTCTAAAAATCCATATTCTAGTATGCTCAGTTTCCGTGATGGATTTATCGGTGCCTTCGACTCGAATCCGACCCCGGCTTCCAAAACCGACTTCGACTCCGGTCAGAGCTGTCGACTCCGACCGACTCCGACCCCGACCTCGCAGCCCTGCTCAGAGGCACACGTGGCCCCTCTATGATAAGGCCCGTGTAGGTCTTCATAGGCCTGTCGTAAGGATGGTCATCAAAGTCGAAAGGGCCCTCAGAGACTACCATGGGTCCGCCCCTTGCACACCGATGGACCCTCAGAAGCCAATATGGGGCTGTTGAGACCGGCGGAGGCCCCAGGACTGCCAAAGGACTGCCAAAGTGGCTCTCAAAGATTTGCGCCCGAGCCTTCAGAATCAGCGGTGGAAGATCGTAGTGGTGTTCATAAGTGCCGGCCTGAGGGCCCTCAGAGGTCAGTTTGGGTCCCTCGGAAGCTAGCGTGGGATCCCTTCTTAGAGTTCAGTGGGACTTTTAGGAGCCTACGCACGGCCCTCGTTAGCCCTGTGGTACTTTAACGGCACTTGAACATGTCACAGACCTTTGGCCAGAGTCGGAAACGACCCCAACCCAACCCCGAATTTTTCGAGCTAGGTCTTGACACTAAAATTTCGTGTCAGCGTGCTAGACTGGTGAAACCCGAGTGTAAAATTCAGCTAACACCAGCTAAGACATGGATTGAATCGAAGTTTTGATATGTTCGAATCTGGAGTCGAAGTCCTGAAAATGTTGGCGACTCTCACTCCGACTCTGGTTGGGACTCGCGACTCCAACCGATTTTGACTTTACAGCCATTCATGAAAACTACCCCCATTTTTTTGCCGACCCCAAAATCTCATCGGATCTGCATTGATCTCAGGGGGAGCCCGGTCGGGGGTGGGGGGGGGCAAGCTGCCCCGCTTGTCCCCCCGTGGCGACGCTAATGTACAATGTATGCACCATTTATGCACCTTGGAAGCGCCCCTATCCTCATTGAAGGTCGCCCCCATCACCAAGTGCACCCCCATCTCAAAAGTAAAAGTTACACCCCTGATTATATCATGCTGATGAAGATTTAATAATCGAAACGCGTCCATGCATTATTTGTTCCGTGTTTTTTTTTCTACTAAATGCGTGCAACTTATCTACTAAACAATATGAATAACAATATGAGCAGAATATAGATACAGCTGCATAAACTAATTTATGAGTATGGGTTTTTGGAATTATGCTTATCTTGATGACTACACTTTAAAATGCTTGACCTTACATACTGCTTGATGATGTTTATAATAAGATTTTTATTTTTAAAGATAGACTGTACTGTCTGTACTATTGACGCACAAGTGATGACCGCCGGACTTGAAATCTTCCAAGCTTCCAACGAAATATGTCCAAAGCCGCTAAACCTGCCAACGACTTCGTGTAACATTTGGAATCAGTCGCTTTTACCCGATAATAAATAATCCCATTGCCTCTAATGGCCCAGACACCATTAAGCGGGCACACGAAATGGTCGTGTATTACAGTGATCACTCTGGTACATTATCCGCAAGAAACGAGACAAAATGGGAGAAAACTGAACAGTAACAGCGCCCTTCGAAAAACGACACCGAGTGATGTTTAACGT